GCCGCGGGGAGAGAGGATTCCAGTCTATGTCTGTCCAGCAGGCACTTACTTGTACCAGGTAGGGGACACCTGTCATTTCAGTGGACTCCAAGGGAAACTGCAGCTCCTGACTGTGGAGCTCACAGAAATGAAGGGATTGCTCAAAGAGTCACAACAGGAAGCCACGCAGCCGATTTAAAGAGCCCCTCATCCCCGTGCCCTGGGGCGGGGGCTTCTAAGACCAGGAAGGGCGGAATAAACCACCGCACCTACTCGGAGTTGCCTAGGTTTGCATTTCTGGGGGATGGGGTGGGAGGGGCCAGTCCTGAAACACGGAGGAGCCCGACAGTCCCGAAAGTTGACATTCAGGTTTGATCCTTTCCCTCCCCGGGCCTCTAGAATGAATAGTGGCGGAGTGGCCTGGGAAGTGACTGGAGGTAGGCACGACCCTAATACTAGGTCTCACTAGGTGTCCCCTGTCTGCAGTCATCCCAGAAGCCCCCTTCTCCTGCACCCCTCCCCGCCCCCCCCCACACACACACTGAAGACAGGATAGTCCACTGAGGTGGCAAGATGCCTGAAACTCCACCACAGGACAACATGGTCGGCCATGCACGGCCCCTCTCTGCGCACTAACTGAGCTTGCCAGAAGTCCTGTGAGTCACCAGGATCTCAGGGCATCTTGCAGAGGTAACTGAGAGCTGGGTTTCGGGGAGGGAAATTCAGGCGCCAGGCCAGGGCTGGGCCCACAGAGGGCCCTGCTTGTTTAGGGCAGAGGTTTGTGGTTGGGCACAAAGCCTCATGCTAGGCCCTCCAGGCTCCCTCCCCTCCAAAGACGAATAGCTATACTCCCCGCACAGGCAGGCAGAGTGCCTCCCAGCCTGTGAGAGAGGGAGGGGCCGACAGGGGAGGTGAGGACAGTACCCCGGAGTGTAGACGGACCCACAGGTCAGGGCGGCAGCCTGGTTGCTCTGAGCAGGGCGTCGCCCAGCCCTCTTTTCTGGCAGAACCTGGTTGCCCGTGCCAACTCTGAGTCAGCCATGCCTAATAATCTCAGGCCGGGAAGGAGGCTTCAGCTCCTCTGCTTGGGCCAGATGCCGGACGAGGGCCTGAGTGGGGTGGGTCTGGGGTACGTAAAGGAAGAGCCTGGCTGCAGCGCCCCCCCCCCCCCCCCCCACCCCCCCCCCAGGCACCTGGGCGAAAGTCCTAAATAACGCTCTAGTTTGGAGCCTGGGGCTCAGAGCTGGGAGGTGACGTGAATAAATAGGAATGATGCTTGAGATGAAGCCAAGGCAACTGCTGGTGTCAGAATTTCAGCAGGTCTCTGCCTGGAAAGAGGAACAGGGCTTGAGGAGGCCCGACTTGCTGAGTAGAGGGTATTGTAGGCCCCCCTGGGAAAGTCAGTGTTCCCCGAAGGGCAGGCCTGGGGACATGCGTTCTAGCCTAGAATTGAGAGGGAGAGACAGATGTGAGGGCAGAGAAAGGACCCCCTCATCCACCCTGCCCCCAGGCGGGGGCTCCAAAGTGAGGCCTGCCGGTGTGGACTTGCTCATCCCAGACTGGAAGGGAAACCAAGGAGGGCTCTGACAGGCCTGCCAGGGGCAGGGGCGGGTGGCGCTCCTACTGAAGGACAGGACCACTGAACTCAGTGCCAGATAAAGGACTAGACCTTCTCTATGTGCAGGAGGCCCAGGCGGGGAGGGGGCTCTCCAAAGTCTGGAAGTTCCGACCCAGTCTCAGCCGTCAGAATAGTAAGATCTGCCCTCTGGTTTACACCCTTCCCTGAGGTATTCAAGGCCACCTAGGCCCGGTTGGCTGGGATTGAGGTGAGCCAGGCCTCGTCCTCCTCCAAGAGGGGTCCAACGGGCTTCTGCCAGACTCTCACATCGGCTTTACCAGCCCAGGAAGCCTGGATGATTCACTGGTGGGCCCGGCACCCCTCATCCTGGGAGGCCTTGTGGAGCCTCTCCCAAAGGGTGATAGGCAGCAGGATTCCTGGACTTTTGGGGGGGGGGTATATCTGGGTACCCTATAAAGAGGGTGTCTGGGTGGCAAGACTTGAGGGGATACAAGGGACCATAAGGGCCTCTTGTTCAGACAGCCCCTTGGGAAGCTACCCAAAGAAAGGACCCTGGAGATGTAACCCCACCCTAGGTCCCGTCCCTCCACTCTACTGCACAGATCGCCAGGGGGTTGGGGTGTGAGAGGCTCAAAGGTGAGCTCCCTGCATCTAATTGCTGTAAACTTTCCCTGCCTGAGTCCCAGCCCTCACCAAAGGCACTCTTGGGGTTAGAAACTTCCCATCGAGAGAAGAGGGTACCCTCCTTCGGACGAGGTTCAGGCATACCTCTCCGAGGACCTCCTAACCCGTGCCCGTGCACCCATTTTGCAGAAGGGAAAGTACAGCTCTGGGGAACCTCTGCTGGCCGCCCGGCCGCCCAGGCTCCCTTTCGCAGCAGCCCGGCTGGGCGTCGGAGGCTACGCGGTCCTTTCCCCAGAATGACGCGATTCTTTCGAGCATCACCCCAACCCTGGCGAGGCGCCTACAAGTAGGGCGTGGGGCCGGGCCGCCCGCGGTAATGACAGGGCCCGCGGCCTGTGGGTGGCGGCGGCGGAGGAAGCGGGAGGAATCTGGCTATTTCTGGCCGGGACGCGCCCACTAGCCTGGGCCAGGGTTGGGGGGGTTGCTGCTCGGCCCCCACCTCGGCCCTCCCCGATCCCCTGGAGGGGGCGGGGAGAGACGCGGGTTGGCGGGTCCAGGGGGCGGGGCGGTGTCTCGGGCCCACCTCCGGTCTCCTCCCACCGCAGTCCCTTCGGGTCCCTCCACCTTACTCGGCTCGGACCCGAGGCCATCGGCGCAGTCGCCGCGCACGTGTGTCGCGCGGCGCCCCCTCCCGCTCCGCCGCCCGTCGGGCATGGACTCGGGCCGGGACTTCCTGACCCTGCACGGTGAGTTCCCGGCTGGCGTGCGGGCAGACCCTGAGCCGGCCGACCCCCGCGGAAAGCCGTTCCCGGCCCTGGGCTGGGGGCCCGAAGCTCCTCCGGCTGCCCTCCGCCCCGCCCCGGGCCCGCCTCTCGGCCCTTTTGTTGCATTGGGGAAATCTCGGCCCAGGACTCTCGGGGTGGGACTGCCCCGCAAGACCTTGGGCGTCTCCAGGCTTGTCCCCCAGATCTGGCCGGAGGTGGGGGGGGGGGGTCGTGACTCTGAAGACTTCCCTGAAGGCTACCCCCGACTCTGCCTGAAAGATTCTGCCTTTTTCTGGTCTCAGAAGGCTGGGCTCTATGGTCGGCTGCGCACGGAGGGGCCGAGGAGGGACGGAACCAGCATCCACGAATAACCAAGTTTTCCCCGCCCCGTCCGGGCTGCCCGAGAGGCTCCCCAAATCCCAGGCGTGCCTGGACCGCGTCTGGCCGAGCGGGTGTGGCGCGGGGAGGAGGGGGAGGGAAGGAGAGGCGGAGGTGTGCAAGGAAGGCGGGGGGGGGGGGGGGCGCGGCGAGGAGGGGGGGTGCAAATTCGGGCTGGGCGGCCGTGACTGCCCCGCGCAGAAATCCTGGTCAGCGATGCACCAGCTGGAAGGAGCGGCGCGACCCTCGTGACCGCGCACCCTCCTGGCGGGGCCGGGCCAAGTCTCACCGCGCACTGCCTGCCGCTTCACCCTTTGTCCAGCCGAGTTCTGGCCCTCCGACCCACCGGGGAAACAGTCTGGGCCGGCTCCTGGCCATATTGCTGTCCCTCCAGGAGAAAAAGCAGCGGTGGGCTCCCCCACTGCAGGGCCTTGGCCGTCTTCTGGCACGTCAGGACCCTCAACCTGGTCTGGCATTCTTTGCTCCGCCCTGGGGACTCACCCACTCTTAAGGGTATCTTGTCCTCCTGGCTCCTGAGATCATCTGCCAATTCAGCAAACCCTGCCCTTCACGCCAATCACTGCTTAACCATAACTCGGCGTTGTCTGGCGTCCCTGGGGTTGGAGGCTTCAGTGTCCGCCACTCAACCGTCTAAACCATACAGGGAGATAATAGATGGGAAGGAGAAAGGCAGAGCCCTCCAGCTGACCACTAGAGACCCCCTGGATTTCAGGGGGATAGGAGATGTTCTTTTCAGCCAGTCCCCAGTCTATCTTCTGTTTCCCAGTTGGCCTGCACGTGGTCTCCATGGCCCAAAGAGACCTTTGCTCCGTGCCCAGAGCTGTTACCCTCACACCAGTAGCCTGGGCTCCGCCAGGCAATCTCGTCCAGCTGGGTCATGGGGTTCCTGCCCCCTTTCCATTGCTCCCTCTTCTCTCCTCAGACCAGACGTGTTCTTAGTGCTTCTGCCAGACTGGCAGAAAGGGAGGCTGGATGGTTCAGAGCACCAGAGTAGAGACCTCTGCTTTCTCTCTCATCCCTTGGTTAGTGCCCTCTACCCTGCAGACTGCCACGTCTTCCATGCCTGTCTCACCCTCAGGTCTCCTCCTCCTGCAAGCCCTCTGGTCGCCTCTGGCCCAGCTCATGTTGGAATGGGCTCCATTCTCGGGCATCTGTGCCTTTGTGCAATAGCTCTTCCCTGGTGTCTTCCCCGGAGAGGAAGCTACGTGGAGGGACTGTGGCGTGGGTTTGGCCGCACTGGCCCCTTCGGTTTGAGACCTGCCTCCCAAATGCCTCACTCTGTCCAGCCCTTCCTGTGGGGCCGTCATGAACACTACAATCCTAAATCGTTTCTCTGAAGGCCCTCCTGCTTCTAGCACATCACCCAGAATTGCATCCCTTAATTACCTTTGTCCCTCCTGCTACAAACCAAATCAGGAAGCAAGAACCTGTCAAGGAGAATTGATGGTGGGAAGGGGTGGTCACTGTGACCTGTGCTGTTCCAGATTGTCCACGCTGCATCCCTTTCATATTTTGTGCCCCCCAGCACTGGCCATGTGCTGTAGGACCACACCATCTGGTCTGGGCAGTTGGCAGTCTGCTGCAGAAAGGCCCCCCCCGCTCGCCCGGGGTCGGGGGCAGGGGGGGGGGGGTGGGGTGGGGGGAGGGCGCCACACAGCCTACCTAGATAGGAGATGTCCCTTAGGTCCTCACCCCAGATGCATGCGGATGAAGTGTAGTCTATAGGCATGCATTCTGAAGGCAGGCTATATGAGTTCAAGCCTTGACTTTTTCATCTCAGACAGATCCCTTGATTTCTTTGTGCCTCAGTTTCCTCAGCAAAATAGGGGATAAGAATGCTACCTACCTCACAGGCTTGCTGTAAGGACTGAATGCGGTAATATGTATAAGGCCATGGAAACAGTGCCTGGTACTCAGCAGGGGCTACGTTTCTGCAGGAGGTTCACCCCCGAGTGATCATGCCCTGTGCGTTCTTTGGGAGATGAGGGGGCACCATAAGACAGTCCCTTGCTAGGAAAAATGTGACCAGAACAGGACTCGAGAACCAAGGGGCTCTTTCTGGTGCCTCTGAAGCCCTCAGACTGATGCTCCAGTCCCCTGGCCTCCTTCCCCTCCTCCACTACCCCTGCTGTCTCCATTCTAGCCAGGCCTGCATCCTAGCCAGTCGCGGCCTCTCCAGCAGCTCCCCAAATGTGCCCGAAAGGATACTACCTCCCAGGCCCTCCCCTCACGGAACACATCCACCTTTACCAACTTTTCCTGCACCAAATCCACCCTGCCCCACTCTACAACTGGCATTTGTGAAAGCGGAAGTCAGGCTGTAGGAGGGCCCCCAGGAACCCTGGGCTCCAGTCCTCATTTCGCATCTCTTTATGTTATGACCCTGAGCAAGTCTTCGTGCCTCTCTGGGCCCTTTCTTTTCACCCATGGTATACAACATCCATTTGCAGGGGATGTCGTAAGGACAAGGCACTTATGGGCATAGGAGCTCCAGGTGGGCAAAAAAGCCGGTGCCCTCAAGATAACGGTTCCAGAGCCATCACAGCAGGTGGGGGTGGCCAGCCCCCTGTTCACCTCAGTTATGTTTCAAACCTGCCTGTCTCCGGAGTTCCAGGCCCATACCCCACAGGCACACCGATCCACGCTGATCCTAACATTTTGTGCCATAGGTCACTTTGGCGGTCAGATGAAGCCTGTGGACGCCTCCTCAGGGTCATGTGTTTAAGTGCATAAAAGAAAATACATGAGCATTCGAAGGAAGCAAGTTACACTGAAGTGTGATTCTATCCATAGGCCCTTGGGGTGGGGGGTGGTCCTTGGTCGTCTGAATGAGAACCCTTGTGTGGTTTCTCTAAAACAGGCTTACCTTGCCCTCTGCCCGCTCCCCTCCAAATAAAGAACAACTTGCCTGTGCCGGTATTTCAGCTCATCTACACCAACACACGTTCTCACGATGTACTTACTCTCTGTGACGTGACCTTAGGCAAATCACTGTGCGCTTCAGTTTATTGTTAGTATTGCTTTGCTTGGCTGTGCTAATGGCTGGCTTTGAGGGTGACTCACTGCCCGCGCTGGTGACTGGAGCCGCAGTGAGGCGAATGGAGGAACTATTCAGAGGCGGAGAGTAAAAGAAGGGTGAGTCAGGCCTCTGGGTGGTGTTCTGACCTTGGCACACAGTAGGGGCTGGATGCATGAAAGAGAAGTTGTAACTTCCATGAAAGGTCCCACTGTTCCCGAGCACACTGGCGGCCCAGTTTTGTATAAAGTTGCGGTAGTTCTCGTCTGTTAATCAAAGCAAGCCTGCGTGAATGGGCTCATTTTTAAGATCAGCCTTTTTTCAAGAATTCCATTCGCATTCGCAACCGTGGAGATGACCCCACTCTGGTGGAGAAACCGAGAAAAGAAAACAGGCCCGCCTGAGGTTCACAAGCGAGGCAACAGCTAAATTACAATGAATTCGTTGAGTAATTGAGGTAAAATACTTGGCAGGCTTGGTGGTCTGCCCCAGGCTCCAGCCCAGGCTCCTCCTTAACCCGCCCCATCCCGTCTTCCTGGACTCGTCCGCGGGGGCCGCCGCCACCCAGTCTCCCCTCCTCCGCTCAATCTCGCTCCAGCTTCTGGTCCTTCGCCCGGCCCCCAGCAGGTGTTTCCCCGGTGGACACCGCCTCCAAAGCCGAAATTCCTCCCTTCCTTGCGCGAACCCCGCGTTTTTAGGGCGGTTTACCCTCCCTTGGTCAGCCCTCTGGACCTCGGCTCCGCCCCTTGAGTGAGGCTCTGCCTCCAAGTTGCTTCCCAGACCCGGTTCCTTTCCTTCGCCCCCCGACCACCAGCTTCTGGGGCTGTGGCTCCGCCCCCTACCAGCTTTCTGGGCTGTGGCTTTCGCCACAGATCTGCTTCCTGGGTTACGGATTTGTCCCACTCCCGCCTCTCTGGCTCCTCCTCTCCCCTCCTGGGGCCCGCCCCCCGGGGCCGAAGGTCCCGCCCCCTCGGGACTGGCCACGTCTCTTAGGGTCTGCCTCCGCCCCTTTCAGCCCAGATTTCTCTCACGCCCCGCCTCTAGGGCCGAGGCTCCGCCCTTCCAGGTTAGCCCCTCCTTCTGGATTCTGGCCCCGCCCCCCACGCCCGGACTCCTCCCCTGCTCCCCTCGGGGCGGTGCTTCCGCCCCCACGGCCAGGGCTTTCTAGAGGCTTTGCAGTCCCGGGCCAGGCTCGGTGGCGGCAGAGGCACCGGGGAGCGTCATGCAATGCCTAGGAATCCGCAGCCGGACCCGCTCCAGAGAGCTCTACCTGCAGGAGCAGAGCCTCAAGGTGGCAGCGCTCAATGGGCAGAGGCTGGGTAAGGGACCAGGAGGGCACCTAGCTCCGCTGGGAAGGCAGCTGGGACACGATGTAGGTAGACCGTATGTCCCTGAGCTCGGGATTCCTGCCTTCGATCCTTTGATTGGACATGTTCAGTGCTTCTGTGAGTGAGAGCCACGGTGGGGCTGTGTTTGCAGGGATGGCGTGTGGGGTGAGTATGGGGGGACTGGTTACCTCTTCTGATCTACCCGAGCCCCTCCAAAGTGCCCTCCTTGCCACCCCTAGCCCCTCCTGTTTACAGATTTCTGAGGCATTACTAGGTATGTGGCCCAGGGTAATGACTCTGTAACCCAGTGAGATGATTGTTTGAGACTACGTGATCCAGTGTGATGCTGTGCAAGTGTGAGTGACAAATGTGACATTGGGTGACCCAGTGTGTGACCTAGTGGTGATTCTGTCCCTCGTGCGGCACGTGGGGCCACTGTGCAGCGGCGATGAGATGTAACGTGTGTGTGACACCGTGGCACCAGTGTGACAGCGTCTGATCCAGTGTGATGCCGTGTGACTGCGCGTGTCCCAGGTGACCGATTCTGTTTTTCTGTGTTACAATATGTGTTACGTGGATTTTCTGACAGTGCTCTTTGTAACATTACTCATTGTGCCTGAGTAGTGACTACATAAGGCAGTGTTTCTTAGCACTAACCCTTGGGCAGGCTTCTGAGTCCTGACTCCACCGTGTAACTTCCTTGAGCCTCAGTTTCCTCATCTGTAAAATGGGAGTAATGATAGTGCCTTCTTCATAGGGTTGTCGGGGAGATTAAATACACGTGCTAAGATCAGCATCTTAGTCAAATCCTGACCATTAATGTTATGGTGGCTGCTATTATTATCGTTGTTATGACGATGTTCTGGTGATGTGGAGGACGGCAGTGTGTGATTGTGTAGCTGTGCGTTGCCGTGGGTCCCAGACCCGATTTGTCTCCATTATGCATCACCCTAGGTGCACGGGGGCAGGACTCCTGGCACCCCCCTCAGCCTCTTGGCACCCGCAGCACCCTCCGTCCTCACAGAGGCCACCTCGCTGCGTGTAGCCAGCCGGGGCAGGCTGCAGATCAGCCCAGGGGCCCCTGAGCTCAGAGGCCGCTTCTCAGGAGGAGAAGGTACCACAGATGAGCAGGTGGGGCTGGGCGCGGGGTGTCCCTAGACTTTCCGGGTGCTCAGGGAGGGAAAGTGGTGGGGCGGGCAGCCCGGAGGCCTCAGAGACAACAGGGCCGCAGGTGAGGCTCAGAGGTAGGGGTGCCCGCCCAGGTTTGCTAATGGCCCAGGAGGCAGTGGCGATTATCAAGGCCCACCTTGGGGCTGAGGTCCGTGTTCCGGAAGCCACGTCGGCAGCCGGGGGACTCATCTCTGCCTGACCGCAGACAGGGCCACGGCCCGTCTCCAGGACAGGATGAACATGTCATCTCCTCACGGTGTTTTCCAGGGCCGGAGGGTGGGGCTCACCTTCGACTGTCCGACCCCGTCCCCCCATTACCATCTGGGGTGCTGGCAGCGGCTGGCCCTGATGAGTGCCCGGCTTGGGCGCGGGGGCCAGGCAGAGGGTCCGGAGAGGTCCCCGGCAGTCCTACCTCAGCCTCAGAAAGGACAGCGGAATGAATGCCCCAGCAGAGGCTGGGGGACTCCCTTCGGGCATCCGGGAACTCCCTTCCCCCTTCCTCTTGTTTCAATGCCACAGACACAGCCGACAGTTTAGGGCTTCCTGCAGGAGCCCCCTTTTCCTGCACTGACCCTCCCCAGGGGCTGAAGTAGGACTGCTCACACCAAGGGTCTCCCAGCGGGGTCTTCCAGAAGTGTGGGGAGACCTGGGACAAAGGAGGGAGAAGGCACATGAGACAGACACCTCTGAGGAGGCCCACAGACGCCTCTTCCTATGCCGTTCTGACCCAGTGCTGATGGGGGAACAGAAGCCCAGAGACAGAGGGGAGCTGCCTAAAGCCATGGGGTGGGGTGGGGTGGGGGGGTTTCAGCACTGGGTACTGTCCCCAGTGGAGGCAGGAGATCGGGGAGGGATAGGGAGGGTAAGGGTGGCTGAGGCCTGGGGAAGTGGTCCAGAAGGTTCTGTAGGAATTGTGGGGGTGTGGGGAAGGCTGGTCGCGGTGGGGGGAGTGGGAGCGTGGATAAAGCTGGAGAGCCTATCAGGCGCTGCGGATCTGGGCTCAGAAAAGCAAAGCTTATAGGCCTAGTCACAGGCCCCTCAGACTGGACCCACGTGGTCCCTGATGTCACCACTCTGCTGGAGCCGAAGGATAAGGACTGCCGAAGGGCCACCTAGTTTTAGTTTGGGGGACAGAGTGAGGGGAGATGGCCGATTGCCTCTGAACAGAGCTGGCTGCTGGACGGCCTCTGGCTTGGGTGACAGACGCATTTATTACGCATTATTACGTTGATGGGTCATTAAGGCGGGGAGTGGTCTCTCCCCGATCACAGTTGATACAGGGTCTGCTTGGGGATGAGGGCTCCCGGGGAGCCAGGCCTCGTGCCCCTTTGGTGCCTCCTGCTTGGAGCTGGTAGGACAAAGGGCATTATATCTTTGGGAGCCCCCACCACGCAAGCCTGCCTGTGTGTCTGAAGACAGCTGGGCAGGAGGGGCCGGGCAGTCAGGGTTCTGGTCCTCACTTGGCGCCCTGGACCAGGTCTTGCCTCAGCTGCTGAGAAGGCTGTGCTGTGCCTCAGGGCTATGATACGCTGAGGTTCCCCGACCCAGGACACTCAGAGATGAAGCGGGCAGGGAGAGACCGGGGCATCCCAGTGGGCTCATTGGTCTGCCTGGGGGCAAGGATCAGAGACCTACTCGAGCAGGTGCAAGTTAGGGTGGGGGCAGCAGGGGTGAGGGAGGCAGGGACGGACACAAGGGCCCTACTGCAACCATAATGTTGACACCAAGAACTACAACGGCTCTGACCTCAGGACCTTTTCTTTCCTGCCCTTCCTGATATTTTGGTCCCAGCTTCGTTCAGATCAGTCTGATCCCTAAGTATGACCAGGAGGGGCATACTTTGTCTTAAGGCCATTTTCTAGGTGTCCCAGGACACCTAAAAAAACCTCAGGAACCAGATGTTCTTGAATTAGCTGCTTTCCCTTTGTCCATTCAGCTGTGGGTGGCAGGTCACGGTGTATAAAGTGTGGCGTTCAGTGGGCGGGTGTCCTGAGGTTTACATGGCCTCAGCTGGCAGTCAGAGATGACTTCCTGGAGGAGGCAGGGCTCCAGGATCAGGCTGGAGCTTGGGTGAAGGTGGGAGAAGGGAACCAAGAGCTGAGGAGGAGGCTGGTGAGAAGTGGGCTCCGAAAGGGTCCAGAGGTGGGAGTAGCTAGCATGGGTCCGGTGGCAGCAGGGACACTGGAGGCAATGGCATCTCACCAGCTCTGTCCCCTAGGCCTACAGGACGATGAGGACCTACAGGTCCTGCTGAAGGGCAGCCAGCTCCTGAAGGTGAAGTCCAACTCATGGCGGAGGGAGCGTTTCTACAAGTTGCAGGAAGACTGCAAGACCATCTGGCAGGAGTCCCGCAAGGTCATGCGGACCCCAGAGTCCCAGCTGTGTGAGTATCCCAGGGTGGGAGCAGAGTGGGGAGCCTGTGCTTGCGTGGGGAAACTGATGCTGGTTGGGGCAGGGAGTGGGGGACGGTCAGTCCTGGACCGGGACCCCAAATAGGGAAGCCGAGGCATGGCCTGGTGGAGCCCGGGTCGGTCACACAACCAGGACCAGATGTGGGGAGACTGAAAGTTGGCAAGGGTGGCGGAGAAGAGTTTATTAAATCACCGATAGGGAAACTGAGGCCTAGTTTGGGCCAGAGAGGGTGGTCACGGAGGACCACAGATGGCGAGGCCTTTGGGGGGGTAGGGGTATATAAACACGACCACAGATGGGAAGGTCCGGCTCAGAAGTAGGGAGGTTGCTGGAAGTGTTGTCTGAACTCACAGGGTCTCCACTGAGACAGATGTGGGAGGGAGGGAAGTTGGGTGGAGTTTGACTCCAGGTGTAATGAGGCCACAAGCCAGGCCCAAAGTCCGGGGGCAGATAAGGCCCTTCCTGGTGTCAGTGGCCAGGATATGAGGTGGGGCTGCGGGAGGCGGTTCCTCCCCGGGGACTGGGGCCATAGCGAAGAGGTGGGGTGGAGCAGAGAGAGCCCTTCGCTGGGCAGTTCCCTTGAGGGTGTTGGGCCTGAGGGTTTTCTGGCAGCTTCTGAAAAGGCCCAGGAACCCAAGCCTCAGGCCTGTACACGGAGAGCGCCTCCAGCAAGCCCTCACCGAGACAGCTACCTCTTAACACAGAATGCCCTAAAGGCTCTGCAACACGAGTGTTCCCCTCCGCATCTTTACGTGGTGGGAAATTTTTAGATCAGTGCTACCCCCAAAAAACTGTCTTTGGTAACAGGAACGTTCTAGATCTGTGCTGTCCAGTAGAGGTCCACTGGCTACCTATGGCCATCAAGCACTGGCAACGTGGCTGGGGTGACTAAGGAACCGAATTCTTAATTCTACCTTATTTTAACTCATTTATATCTAAATAGCCACATGCGGCGGGTGACTGTTGTGTTGGACGCGCAGGAAGATCACTGCCGTTGGACTCCACACAACCCAGATCCCTGCCTTTGGCTGTGGCAGTGGCAGGGTGGGGGAGGGGGCACACGGAGACAGGGTCAGTCGGCTGGGAGTGAGATCAGACACGGGCGACAGGCCCGGGGTGGGAGGGGGGACAGCAGGAAGCGGAGGGCCTGCCCGCTGAGGGTGCCCAGGGAGGGTTTGCCGGCCTCGGGAAACAGGTAGTAAGCTGAGAAAGTATGGCCTGCTGCCCCTGTGGCCTGTAGCAGGGCTGGAGGTGAGGCGGGGCAGGAGCAGGGTCGGATAGGGAGCTGGGCTAGGGCCTTGGGGCTATGGGCCCCGGGTTTCTGAGCAGGGCAGGGTCGGCTTGGAACGGATGGAGCCTGAAGTCTCTCAAAAAAACCACCCGAGTGCACATCAGCCACACAGCATGGAAGCGACCCAGACCTTTCCTGTCCGTGGCACCAGCCAGTCTCCTTCATAGGCCTCTGCCCTGATATGGGGCTTCCTGTTAGATGCTGGTCGGGGGGGGGGGGGGCCCCCGCAGGGTGGGAACGGGGCATCTTGTTCTCTGAGCCCTGGGGATTCCCGAGAGCCCACACAGCAGCCAGTACACTTGTGTGCCCAGCACTTGGTGGCGGTGGGCGGGGGGGGCGGAGACAGGGGAGGGGACCTGGACTAGGGAGATGAGCCCCTCATCCTGGGACAGCTGTGAACACGAGGGCAGGAGGGGCGTCCCAGGCAGGAGACCAGCCTGAGCAAAGATGCAGAGGGGAGGACGAGGAAGGGGCACAAGTGAGGGGCCTGGGCGGAGGGGCTGCAGGGGTGACAGGTGGGGGGTCAGTCACCAGGTGTGCTCAGGTGAGGAACATGGCTAGAAGAGGCTCTCTTCCGTGACAGAGACACCGAGACAGCTCTCGGGCTGAGCACCCGTGTTGGCTGCTTCCCTTCTCTGGGTGAGCAGCGAGACTGTTGGCCCCAAATGCGCTCTGTCCTCGGGGAAGCTGAGGCCAGGTGAGGGAGGAGGGGAGCCGCGCCCCCCGTTCTCTCTGCCTCTGCTTCCTGCTAAGTTTCCCCTGACCCTTCCACTACCACACTCCCCCCACTCTGGCTCCCAGAGGCAGACAAGGCATTATCAGCAGCGGAGGCATCTGGAATCTCTCTCTGGTGCGGGTGGGGGTGCTGGCCCAGCTCCACAGCTCAGGTTTCCTGTTGTCACCCCAGCCTGGGTCAGCTGCCTGCCGCTGGGGTGAGCCTCGCCGGCACAGGAGGCCGTGGGCAGAGGGATTAAGCACAGGTACCCCCAGCACCCCAGATGGCCTAGGGCTCACGTGTCTGGCCATCAGAGCCTGCTGCCCAGGCGGGGGCACATGTCATACACCTAGGGCTTGTAGGTAGGTGGCTGGGAGACGTCTGGGCACTCAGGGTGCAGGCAGGCACCAGGAGGAGAGGTGAGCTTGTAGCCAGAGCTGGTCTAGGACCCGAGACAGATGGATGTGGATGGCTCAGGACGCGGGTGGGGCAGGGGCAGAGCCTGAACCTTGATGCTGGACAGCTTAGCGTGAGCCCAGCTGGTGGAACTGGCTCACGGCCAGGCCAGGGAGGACACACTGGGGGTAGTAGGGAGGCAGGGGCTTGCTGCTCCCTGAAGCTTGGAAGGCTTGAATGTGACGGGAGGCCTTTCCCCCCAGCTTCTGAGGACAGAATGGTGTACTCCCTCAGACTCCTAAGGGGCACCCCTTGGGGTCCTAGAGGGCCACGGCCTTCCTGCACCCTCCTTGCCAAGGGGTTCTCTGAGGTCAGGACACACACAGACACATGCAGGGCAAGGCCCTGTCTACGCTCCAACACAAGCACTTCTCCCTCTACACCCACACCCCAGGGCCATGATGGCTTCTGTCTCCTGGATGGTCAGGAGAGGGGCCTGGAGGCTCGCATGGCTGTCTGAGGGGAAGACGGTACAAAGTCAAGGGCAATGAGGAGGGTTTGTGGCCTCCTGTCTGTCGCAGGCTCCAAGCTCCAGAGTGGTCTCCCCCATCTCTAAAAGCCCTGTCCAGCCCCAGTACTCTCCCAGGGGTCCTACACCCTCCCAGTCCAGAAAGAGCAGGGCTGGGGTCCCAGTGCCCCTCTCCGAGGTCGGCCTCTCCCTCTGTCCCTCCCTGTGCGTTTCCGCTGCGCACCACAGTTGTGTCTCACGTTCTTCCAACACCTCAGTCTCTGGCCTCCTTCCTCCCTTCTGTGCCGCCTCGTCTGTCCTCCTGTCCCTCTCCTTGTCTCTGGATCGTACAGCTCCAGCCCCGGCTCTACCGGCCCCTACGCTGTGCCTTGGGCCCATCGGGGGCAGGGACTGGCCTCGCAGCTCTCTCTGCCACCTGTCCCCTTTTTGCAGTCTCCATTGAGGACATTCAGGAGGTGCGGATGGGGCACCGCACGGAGGGCCTGGAGAAGTATGCCCGCGACGTGCCCGAGGACCGCTGCTTCTCCATCGTCTTCAAGGACCAGCGCAATACACTAGACCTCATCGCCCCATCGCCAGCTGACGCCCGGCACTGGGTGCAGGGTCTGCGCAAGATCATCCACCACTCGGGCTCCATGGACCAGCGGCAGAAGCTGCAGCAGTATCCTTTTGGTGGCAGTGGGCCCTGGCCCAGCCTGTGGATACTGGCTTTGGCCATCCCCAGGGCAACATGGGAACGGAAGATACCCAGATCGGGCCGTCGCACCAAAATAGCATAGCCTGGGGGCTTAAACAACAGAAGTTCACTTTTTCACAGTTCTGGAGGCTGGAGGTCCGAGTTCTGGTTGCCAGCATGGTTGGGTTCTGATGACAGCATTCTTCCTGGCTTGTGGGTGACTGCCTTGTCACTGTGTCCTCACATGGCAGAGAGAGAGAGAGAGAGAGTCAACACGATCCCTGGTGTGTCCTCTCATAAGGGCATGAATTCCATCATAAGGGCTCCACCTCGTGACCTCATCTAAGCCCCCCAAGACGGATCCCCAGATGCCATCATATTGGGGGTTAGGGCTTCACAGTATTAATTTGGGGGAACACACTTCAGTCCTTAGCTGAAGGGAGGCAGAAAAGGTACCTGGAGCCCTATTTGGTCTACACTGTGCACCCCCCAATGTCCCCTCTTCTCCCCACCAATAACCAGCACAGGTGAGGCTAACGGCAGCAGCCTGCTTCCACGAGAGGCTGTGCCTTGGGTGTTTTAAGCATGTTTCCTGGAGTTACTACATTTTTTCTCTCTGGGAATTTGGGAGGCCCTGGTACCCCCTGTGCCATTCTTGGGGGAGTGGGGTCCAAGTTTCCCGGGGCCTGGTGTGCAGGCCAGCCTGTGGGCTTAAAACAAATTCACTTCCAAGTCTGGGTGCACAACATGCTAGCCTAGGATTCAAAGTGATCGGGCTCCTGGTACATAGGGTTAGGGAGGAGCCAGCTCCAGCCCCCTCTTTTAATGACAGTTTTATTGACATACAATTCACATACCGTGTAATTCACCTGCTTAAAGTGTACAAGTTAATGCTGTTTAGTATATTCACAGAGTCGGAAGTAATTTTACAACATTTCATCACCTTAAAAAGAAACCCCACACCCCTTAGCAGCCACTCCCCATCTCCCCATGACCCCCCAGGCCCTAGACAACCACTAATCTACATTTTGGCTTTATATGTCTGCCTTTTTCTGGGCATCTCACGTAAGTACAAGATACAGTCTTTTGTGACTGGCTTCTCTCACTGAGCATGTTTTTCAGGCAAATCCATGCTGAATGGATGAATCAGGACTTCATTCCTTCTTATGGCTGAATAACATTCCATGGCGTGATTATTCCCCAGTTTATTTATCCATTCAGTAGTTGATGGACATTTGGGTTTCCACTTTGGAGCTTTTATGAACCAATGCTGCTATGAACATTTGTGTAGAAGTCTCATGCGGTATATACCTACAATTTATAAGTCTTATGGTAACCGTATGTTTAACCTTTCGAGGAATTGCTGAACTGTTCTCCAATGAGGAAATTTACATTCTCACCAGCAGTGTATGAGGGTTCCAACGTTTCACATCTTCGCTAAGGCTTGTTACTATCTCTTTTTACTGTAGCCAGCTTTGTGGGTATAAAGCGGCATCATTGTGGTTTTGCTTTGCATTTCCTTGATAGCTAATGATGTCGGGTATCTTTACATGTGTTTATTGGTCATTTGTATATCTTCTTTGAAGAAATATCCGTTAGATCCTTTGCCCATTTTGTGTTGTTAAGCTCTTAAAAAAAAAAAAGATTTTGTTTTTAAGTAATCTCTACACCCAACATGGGGCTCAAACTCACAACCCTGAGATCAAGAGTCGCACGCTCTACTGACTAAGCCAGCCCGGTGCCCCTATTAAGCTCTTTTTTAAATGGATCTTCGAAAAAAAATTTTTTTAATGTTTATTATTGAGAGACAGAGAGACACAGAGCGTGAGCAGGGGAGGGGCAGAGAGAGGGGGAGATAGAATCCGAAGCAGGCTCCAGGCTCTGAGCCATCAGCACAGAGCCTGACGCGGGGCTCAAACTCACAAACTGCAAGATCATGACCTGAGCCGAAGTTGGTCGCTTAACCAACTGAGCCACCCAGGCACCCCATTAAATGGATCTTTTTTAAAAAAAAATTTAATTGTGGTAAAATATACGTAACATAAAATTTACCGCCTTCAACTACTGTAGTAGTGTTGAGTACATTCCCATTGTCGTGCAACCAACATTCAGAGCTTTTTTCGTCTTGTGAAACTGAAATTCTACATCCATTAAACAACTTGCCATCCTCCCACCTCCAATCCCCACTCCCCAGCCCCCAGCAACCACCGTTCTCCTTTCTGTCTCTATGAATTCGACCACCCTAGGAACCTCAGATAAGTAGAATCATACAGGATTTGTCTTTTTACAACTGGCTCATTTCACTTAGCATAACGTCCTTTAAGATTCATCTACGTTGTAGCGTGCGTCACAGTTTCCATTCTTTTTAAGGTGGAATAATGATAGTCCATTGTCTGCACAGACCACATTTTGTTCATCCATCCATCCATCCACTGAGGGACACCTGGTTGCTTCCACCTTTTCACTGTTGTGAGTAATGCTACTCTGGGCATACCTCTTTAGACCCTGCCTTCAGTTCTCTGGGGGTATAGACGCAGAGGGAGAGCTGCTAGATCATATGACAATTCTACTTTCAGCTTTTTGAGGAACCACCATACTGGCTTCCACAGTGTTTGTACTACTTTGCGTTGCCACCGACAGTGCACAAGGATTCCGATTTTCTCCAAGTCTTCAACACACTTGCTGTTTTCTGGGGTTTGTGTTTTGGTTTGTTTTGGTTTCTGATAGGTATCTTATTGTGGTTTTGATTTGCATTTGATTCATGATGTGGAGTGTTTTTTTGTTTGTTTGTTTTTTTAATGTGCTTTTCTGCCATCTTCTCTGGAGAAATGTTTACTCAGATCCCTGGCCCAGTTTTTCACTGGGGCTCTTTGTCTTTTTATAATTGAGTTCTAAGAGTTATTTATATATTCTAGACACAAGTCTCAGCTCGGTTATGCTTTGCAAATAATTTCTCCTATTTTGGGGATTCTTTTCTTTTCTCGATGGTATTTGAAGCACAAGTTTTTAGTTTTGGTGAAGCCTAATTCAGCTACTTTTTGCTTTCGTTGATGTGATTTTTGATGTTATATCGAAGAAGGCTTTGCTTAACCCAAAGTCACAAACATTTACTCTTATGTTTTCTTCTAAAAGTTTTACAGTTTTAGCTATTACATTTAGGTGTTTGATTTTTTTTTTCTTTTTAATTTTAAGGATGCTCCACCCAGTGTGGGACTTGAACTCACAACCCTGAGACTAAGGGTCACGTGCTCTATGAACAGAGACAGCCAAGCACCCCAGGTCTCTGATTCATTTTGAATTTGTTTTTGTGGCATGATGTGGGCGCCCCCCCCCGGGCCCAGCTTCATTTCTTTGCGTGTAGGTAGCTGCTCCAGCACCATTTGTTGAAAAGATTGTTCTTTCCTCATTGAACTGTATTTACAGCCTCATCAAAAATCAGTTGACCATAAATATAAGGGTTTATTTAATGATTCAGTTTTATTCCATTTATCTATACATATGCATGCACCAAATTTCAGTTACCATAACTTTGTACTAAGTTTTTTTGTTTTATTTATTTATTTATTTATTTAAAATCCAAGTTAGTTCATGGACTAAGTTTTGAAATCAGGACGTGTGAGTCTTCCAAATTTGTTCTTTTTTTTTTCTTTTCTTTTCTTTTCTTTTTTTTTTTTTTTTGTGAGATTAGTTGGACTATCCTGGATCCCTTGATGCCCCATATAAATTTTAGGATCAGTTTCTGCAAAGTGGCCAGCATGATTCTGATAGGGGTTGTGTTGAATCTGTAGATCAATCTGGAGAGTATTCCCCATTTAACAAATCAAATGTTGTGATCTGTAAATATGGGTATCTTTCCATTTATATAGGTCTTCCTTAGTTTCTTTCAACATGTTGTTGTCGTTTTCAGAGTATAAGTTACACATTTAAATTTCCTTACTCTCTGATTTTCAGCAGTTCAGAGTTTTAAGTGTTTTTTCTCAAGGCTATATCTACCTGATTTTGAGCTTTCTTAAAAGTCCAATTCTGTAGTACAGGTTTGTGCTTGGACAGGCTTCTGCCCTCTGGAGGATTCTGCTGCCCAGACCTCAGGGTCATAAACCCATTCCCTCCTATGGAATAGCAGTCGGCATGGGGACCTCATGCTTGGCTGGACCACTCTGAACGTGATTTTCTTTTTTTTTTTTTTTTACCTAGAATTCTGCCCTAATTATTTTCTCATGTAAATATATACATAAAATATGGCTATGTTAGAATGAAATTTTAAAGGCCCCCAAAACCCATCTCCTTCAGAAACTGCTGATTTGGGTTCTGCCCCCAATCTTCTCTGCATTTCAATTTGCCTTATGATGCATTTGCCAAAAATAGTGGAGATCATACATTTGTATCCACTTTCCGCGTAACATTACGTCATAATTCTTTCCCCATAAACAGCTGTAACGACTGTAATATTCCATTGAGTAGATGCCCTATAAGTTAGCGCTCCATTCTTTTAGCGGTGAACATTTATCTTTAGTGTTTCACTACTACAAGTAATATGGCAAAGAACTATGTTCATAAAACCTTTCAGTATTTAGTAGGAGTATTTCCTTACGAATAGATTCCTAGAAGTGGAATTAGTGAGTCAAATGATGTAGACGTGTAGACGTTAGCTGTATCTCTACACCACATTCCTAAGGGTTGAACTGATTTCCTTTGTCCAAGTGCAAGATGGGAGTCCCGTGTCACCTCACCCCCACGTGCCTTCAAAGTAACATACTTTGAAATTGCTGATCTTACAGTTTAAGAAACCGCAGCTCATTTGCAAATTGTTAGTCTCTTTGATTACCGAGAACGTCTGTAAAAGGTCAGTTCATGTCCTTCTCTCATTTAGTTATTAGGGTCACCGTACTGTTTTCTGGACTTTTTTTTTTTTCTTTCTTTGACCCTCAGAATTGTGTAAAGTTTATATGGCATCAATTATGTTGTTTCCTTTGCGACTTTTTCTAAAAACCTGCTGTTGGTTTTTAAAATTATGGTCGTTGTCTTTGTTGTCTAATTTCTGTGGAATGTACTGTGGGGTTCCTCTTTCTTGACTTCTCCAGGTCTAGTCTGAGGGGAGAGGGGACAAAAGGGAGAGGTGGGGGCCTAAGTGCCCCCATCGTGACAGCATGAGCCGGGCTTTGTTTTTTGCTTGTGATATCCTCACCTTCTGATCTGTGGCTTAAAGTTTTGATGTTTCCTGTAAAATAAGCCTCACGTGCTTTAGTCAAGTTGGCTAACAATGATGTACTGGAAACCAGAAGGACAAACTTTGAAATGGTAACAGTAATTATCTGTGGGTGATACAACCATGGGGGATTTGTTTACTTTCTGCATTTTTTTTAAAGTTTATTTGAGAGAGAGAGAGAGTACTAGCTGGGGAGAGGGGCAGAGAGAGAGAGAGAGAGGGAGAGAGAGAACCTTAAGCAGGCTCCATGCTCAGTGTGGAGCCCGATATGGGGTTTGATCCCACGTCGGTGAGATGAACACCTGAGCCGAAATCGAGAGTCAGACACTTGACCGACTGAGCCACCCAGGCGTCCCTACTTTCTGCATTTTCTACGTTGTCTATAAGCGAACTCTTCCACAGTGAGAAAATAAATGTCTTTAGAAATGTGAAAAGGTTCAAATCCAGCCAACAGAAAATAGACCCCTTAATAGGATGTAACATTTTCTCCGAAGAGCCCATCGGATCTTGTCCCTGGGATGCTGATGTGCAGCTGCACCTGCAGGGGGCTTTGTCTGTGGGTGGTCTCAGTCCACCTGGGCCCAGGACTTCACCCTGGGCTTGAAACATGGCTCTAGCTGGGACCGTGGGGGGTATCAGGGCTCCTGGGTTCTTTCTTTCCTTACTTTTTGCCCAGCTGGATTCACTCTTGCTTGCGAAAAGCTGACAAAAACAAGGACAACAAGATGAGCTTCAAGGAGCTGCAGAACTTCCTGAAGGAGCTCAACATCCAGGTGGATGACAGCTACGCCCGGAAGATCTTCAGGGTGAGGCAGGGAGTGAGGGCTGCTTCTGTGTGGCAGTGGGCCCTAGACCCTAGTGGGGAGCATGCTCTGAGCCCGGCCCACGTGGCCTTGCAGGAATGTGACCGCTCCCAGACAGACTCGCTGGAGGATGAGGAGATTGAGGCCTTCTACAAGATGCTGACCCAGCGGGAGGAGATTGACCGCACCTTTGCGGAGGCCGCAGGCTCCAGGGAGACGCTGTCAGTGGATCAGTTAGTGACGTTCCTGCAGCACCAGCAGCGGGAGGAGGCGGCGGGGCCTGCGCTGGCCCTCTCTCTCATTGAGCGCTATGAACCCAGCGAGACGGGTGAGGGCCTGGCTGGGGCCTTCAGCCTGCACTCCCTGGGTCTAACACTGGCTGGGAGACGCCTGGGGAGTGTCAGGAGCTGGAGGGAAGGGGGGTGCCTCAGCCTGCCCCATGAAGGCAAGCAGATGAGAGACAGGACTCCAGCATCACTACCCCTCTCTCGGGTCCTTCTCCAGAGGGGTTTGAGGGTCCTCCAGGAAACAGGAGAGGAGGCTGGAAAAACAAACCCTTTTCCTGCTTCCTTCTTTGTGCCCATTCTGAGCCCCTCCCTGTGCTTCAGTCTTGAGGCCCAGAGGAGGAGGAGGAGGAGGCAGACTGAGGAGGGGGCCTCGGTGTGGGGGACCGAGAAGGTGGGGGGAGGGGGAGGGAGAGACAGAGCCCCACTCTGGGGTAATCACAGCCTGATGATTTACCAGACTTACCTCTTCCGAGAGACATCCAGGGCGAGCTCGGGACAGGGAGGCGGGGACAGCAGGGGGCTCCTCCCGAAGGTCTCCGGGAGGCGGCTGGCCTCCAGAGCTCTGACTGGTGCCGGCCTCCTCCCTCGCAGCCAAGGCGCAGCGGCAGATGACCAAGGACGGCTTCCTCATGTACCTGCTGTCCGCCGACGGCAGCGCCTTCAGCCTGGCGCATCGGCGGGTCTACCAGGACATGGGCCAGCCGCTCAGCCACTACCTGATGTCCTCCTCGCACAACACCTACCTGCTGGAAGACCAGCTCACCGGGCCCAGCAGCACCGAAGCCTACATCCGGTGGGGCCCGGGGGCGGGGCGGGGCGGGGCGGGGCCGGGGCAGCCTTGGGGCGGGGCGGGGCCGGGGCGGGGTCGGAGGGCCTAGCCGCCACGCCTACCCGCAGGGCGCTGTGCAAGGGCTGCCGCTGCCTGGAGCTCGACTGCTGGGACGGCCCCAACCTGGAGCCGATCATCTACCACGGCTACACGTTCACCTCCAAGATCCTCCTCTGCGACGTGCTCAGGGCTATCAGGGACTACGCCTTCAAGGTGGGCGCGCTCCTGGCGGGTGAGGAGGGCCGTAGTAAGGGCGGCACCCCCCTCCTAACCTGCCCTGGGGCCTCCAGGCGTCCCCCTACCCCGTCATCCTGTCCCTGGAGAACCATTGCGGCCTGGAGCAACAGCGTGTGATGGCGCGACACCTGCGCACCATCCTGGGCCCCATGCTCTTGGACCGGCCGCTGGACGGGGCCACTACCAGCCTGCCTTCCCCTGAGGTTCGCGGTGGGCACGGGAGTACCCGTATGAGAGGGCAGGGGGGACTGGCCGGGAGGCCCGTTGGCTTGGTCTTGACCAGCTGCTTCTCCACTCTTAGCAACTGAAGGGGAAGATCTTGCTGAAGGGGAAGAAGCTTGGGGGGCTCCTGCCCCCTGGCGGGGAGGGTGGCCCTGAAGCCACTGTCGTGTCTGATGAGGATGAGGCTGCTGAGATGGAGGACGAGGCAGTGAGGAGCCGAGTGCAGCACAAGCCCAGGGTTCGAGGGGGAGTTGTGGGGGAGGGGTCAGCCCCGGGGACCTCCCCCATCATGGGATGTTTGCCTGGTCTCAGTTCTCTGTGGCTGCCACTCAGACCCTCTGCCCCCCTCTCTCTGTCTGTCTCCCTCTGTCTCTGTGTCTGGGTTTCTGGCTCTCTCAGTGCCCACCTGCCCCAACCTCTGAATCTAACCGGGGCCTCCCCATGGCCCCCAGGAGGACAAGCTCAGGCTAGTGAAGGAGCTCTCCGATATGGTCATTTACTGCAAGAGTGTCCACTTTGGGGGCTTCTCCGGCCCCGGCACCCCAGGGCAGGCTTTCTATGAGATGGTGTCCTTCTCTGAGAACCGCGCCCTCCGACTGCTCCAAGAGTCAGGTGAGCCCCGGCCCTGCACCCTCAGGGTGCTGTCCATCTGTCTGACCGTTTGGACCGGTCAGGCCTGGCTCCCCCTGCTCGGGACCTGGCAGAGTCAGCACTCCCTGCTGTTACCAGATAGAGCTGGCGGGGGGGGGGGGGGCCCCGCGCCCCCGCGGGGGGGGCGGGGGGGGGTGCACTTCTGACCACCTACACCTTCTCAGGAAACAGCTTTGTTCGCCACAATGTGACTCACCTGAGCAGGATCTACCCTGCTGGGTGGAGAACGGACTCCTCCAACTACAGCCCCGTGGAGATGTGGAACGGGGGCTGCCAGATCGGTAGGGGCCGGCGGGGGCCGGCGGGGGCCGGCGGGGCCTGGGAGGAGGCCTGGGCGAGGGTTTCGGTCCAGAGGACCAGGGGCCAGACACAGCGCGTTGTGGGTTCGGTTTGAAAATAATCCCCCCACCAGCAAGTCACAGTGTCTGAAACCTCATCGTGAGCACACTAGGGCTTTGCATTCTGGCACCAGCAATAAAACGTGAGGCTGGTGCGGTGGGTCAGGGAGGGTGGCAGGGGGGCAGCAGGCACTGGAGTGGCGCTGGGCCCTGCTTCTGCCTCCCCATGGGCCTCTAAGGCCTCAGTCTACCCTGAGCAGGCCGGGCTCTAGGGCCCCGGAGACCAGCCCACAGCCTGTGACTGCTCTGTCTCGCCTCCAGTGGCCCTCAATTTCCAGACACCTGGCCCAGAGATGGATGTGTACCAGGGCCGCTTCCAGGACAACGGGGCCTGCGGGTACGTGCTGAAGCCTGCCTTCCTGCGAGACCCGAACTCGACCTTTAACTCGCGTGCTCTGGCTCAGGGGCCCTGGTGGACCCGGAAGCGGCTCAGTGTCAGGGTACGGCCGGCCACGGGAGGGACGGGAGCCTGTGGGCCTCCCTCCTCCCTCACCACCATTCCCGACCCCTCATTGGTCCCCTGCCTTTCCTCAGGTCATCTCCGGGCAGCAGCTGCCAAAAGTCAACAAGAATAAGAATTCAATCGTGGACCCCAAGGTGACGGTGGAGATCCACGGCGTGGGCCGGGACACGGCGAGCCGCCAGACGGCTGTGGTCACCAATAACGGTACCTGCGGGGCCTGGGCAGGGCACCCCCCCCCGCCGGAGCTGGCGTCCACGCTGCTGACGCGGTGCTTGCACCCCTAGGTTTCAACCCGTGGTGGGACACAGAGTTTGAGTTCGAGGTGGTTGTGCCCGAGCTCGCCCTCGTGCGCTTCTTGGTAGAGGATTATGACGCCTCCTCTAAGAACGACTTCATTGGCCAGAGCACCATCCCCTTGGGCAGCCTCAAGCAGGGTGAGTGTGTGTTGAGGGGGGGAGACAGCGAGGTCGGGGAGGCAGGGCCTGCGGTCTCTCGGGCTGGGGCCCTTGTCCCTTGAAGCATCCTCATCCAGTGACCGGAACTCTCCCTGTGCTCTTTCCTGCCCATCCACCTGCCAGGATACCGCCACGTCCACCTCTTGTCAAAGAATGGAGACCAGCACCCTTCTGCCACCCTCTTTGTGAAGGTGTCTCTCCAGGACTAGGCTTGGGGATTCTGGAGGCAGCTGCCCCAAGCCGGCCGGGCCCTCTGTCCACAGGTAGGGACAGGGCTGGTGTGGCTGCGCTCAGCCTCTCGCTTGGAGCTAGAGGCCCCGCACTGCCTTCAGCTCTAACATACTGTCAAAGCTGCTGCCTCTCTGGGCTTCCAGGAGCTGGCCCAGTCCCTGGAGCTCTCTTCGATTCCGTTAGGAAAAACACTGCAGCCCTCCGCCCTCTGGCCAGCCCCAGGTTGAGGGTTTTTATAAAAATTATAAGACTGAGTCCCGTGGTCTCTTTCCCTGAATGCCGGAAGGATCCCTACAGAGGGCACATGTGTGTGTGTGTGCACGTGTGTACCCGTGCGTGTGTGGGAGCACACACTCACACTGCGAGTATGAGGCTTGTCTGTCCCTTTGGGCGGGAAGGACCAGCAAGAAACAAAGCCCTCCATGGAAGACAGAGAGAGCTCAGTCCTCTGGAATATTCCCCCTCCAGCCCTAGGGGCCCCTCCCCCTTCAGAGGTGGACCCACCAAGTGATGCAGACTCGAAAGCCCTTACAACACACCTTGTGAGGGCCACGGACTTTTATTGATGGGGGAATGCCAGCGGCGTGTCCCCGGGGGCTCGGGTGCGTGCTGGGAAGGCACCCCGGGGGGTCCTGGCTACGTTAGTGGCACCGACACGGGCAGGGCCTGGGTTCAGAAGAAGCCAAGCTGCTTCTTCTCCTGCTGCTGCCTCCACTTGGCCATGCTGTAGAATTCTTCCTTGGACTTCCCAAAGATCTCTTGGAAGTCAGAGTCTGAGAGATAGAACTGGCGGGGGGAGGGCACAGGGCCAGCGTGTCAACTGAGCCCAGAACCCTGGCCCATCCACCCAGGGGTGTCATCGCAGGGCTCAAGGCTCTCCTCTCCCACATCTCTGCCCATCATCCCCTCTGAAACACACGTCTTCCCGGGCAACCTGCCCACCGCCCACCATCAGTGGGTCATTTCCCGGGTTCCTCCAGCTCAGTTTTAGATGCATCGGTTCCGGGGGCAGTGAGTGGCAGGGGGGCCTCGGGCACCCACCTCCTTGCGGGCCGGGTCCACACCCTCTGGCAGGTCCTCAACAGCCTGATGCATTAGCCGTTCGCGGGGCAGGCTCCCATTGATGATGGGTCTGGGGCTGCTGTGGTGGCTGTTGGTGCTGGCGTCACCTGCCTTGGGTCCTGGCTGCAGCTCATTCCCTGAGCCGTCCTGGGAGCCCTTGAGGGTCTGCAGGGTCAAAGGGTCTGCCGCGCCATTGCTTGGCCCTCTAGACAGCTGGAAGTCGTTGAGTTCCTGCTCGGAGAGGGGACTCAGGCTGGGCGTATGGAGGAGAGGCTCCCATGCGGAGGCCACACTGAGCCCACTGGGCCTCTTGCCCCCACTGCAAACCCTGCCGTCCACCAGGGCCTGGCTCCTTTCTTGTCCGTTCTGCCCATCTGGATCATGCCGACCAAGCCTGGACCCTGGTGGGAGCCGGGAGGGGGCGGGGCGGGAGAACCCAGTACTCACGGCTGTTATCTCACATATGGCTGGCATTGCTCCCAGGCTGCCATCCACCACCTCCTTGTAGGACTGGTCGTTCTGGGGGCAAGAATCAGGGCGGGGGCAGGATGGAGAGCACCCCTGGCACCCAGGAGGGGACCTGACGGCAAGACCAGCTCTCCGCCACCCACACGGGAGGTCCCCGGACAAGGCGATGCCTCCTCCCAGTCTGCTCAGGGCATACTCTCCCTGGAGTAGGGTGGGGCTGGGAGTTCAGGCCTCACGCACAGTCCACTTGTAGGGGTCCCAAGCGAGGAACCATCCAGTGAAGGTGGGGGGCTCATGGCCCTGCTTGATCACCACGATAGGCGTGGCAGGGCTCCTCCCTGCCGGGTGGGTCTTCAGGTACTCCTGGCCCCAGTCCACCGCCTCCTTCTTCCACTTGCTGGCAGCTTCCCCGAGCCACAGGAAGATCTGGGTCACAGAGGGGGCCTGGCCTTGGGCGAGTGGAGGGGCTGCCCAGAGCTGACCACTCCCTTCCCGCTTCTGTCCATTAACTGGTCTCACAACCCCTCCACACACCCCAGCCAACCAGGCACAGCCAAGCAGGCTGGCCGCCATGCCCATACACCCATCAACATGCCAGAGAAGATCACAGGCGTGCACATATACATTCAAGTCACAAATGTACCTATGGTGTGCCAGGCACTGTTCTAGGCACTGGGGGTTCAATAAGGGGGGGGGAAAGCAGGCAAAAATCCCTGCTCTTACAGAGCTTTCTTTTTACTGGGGAGACAGAAAAAGAAGTAAAATATGTACTATATCAGATGGAGAAAAGGCAGGGAAAGAAGACACCAAGTGTGGGGGCGGGGAGGCAGAAACACTGTTATTTTTTCTTTTAACGTTTAGGACAGAGAGAGACAGAACATGAGCAGGGGAGGGAGAGAGAGAGGGAGACACAGAATCCACAGAATCCGAAGCAGGCTCCAGGTTCTGAGCCTGTCAGCACACAGCCCAATGCGGGGCTCGAACCCACGAACCGTGAGATCATGACCTGAGCTGAAGTCGTCAAGACGCTTAACCGACTGAGCCACCCAGGCGCCCCAATACCGTCATTTTAAATTAGACTCAGGGAGAGCCTTCCCGAGAAGGTGACGTTTGAGTAAAGAGCTGGGGGAAGCGTGGGGAGCAAGTCGAGTGTTCTAACCGGAAGAAACCACCAGTGCAAAGGCCCTGAGCGTGTTAGGGGAGTGGCAGGGAGGCCACTGTGGCTGAGGCAGAGCCAGTGGAGGAGGAGAGTGGGAGCACATGGGCCCTGAGAGGGCCGTCAGGTCTTGTGGGCTGTAGGAAGGGCTTTGCTGAGCGAGATGAGAACACGCAAGCCTCGTGGCTGCATCCACACAGTGTCACAGACCCCGTGACACAGACACCCACATGATCGCAGCTACGGACACACGATCCCCTACAGTCACACGTGGCCGCACGTAAACACGATCGCGCCCCATCACACAGTCGCACGCGCTCCTGGAAGACGCAGGTAGCCCTAAACCGCTGCTGCACGTAGCCTCCCAGAAACATAGTGACCCTGCCACACAAACAGTCACACTCAGTCACTCACTGCGGTCACCCAGTCTCTTAGTTTCCCCAGTTACAGCCAGGGTTCGACCACGGCCAATACAGTCACACACAGGAAGCACACACGCGCGCACACGGTCAGTCATTCGCTTTGCAAACGCTCCCGCTGACACGTTAGCCACAGGCACCCGGTCACCCGGAATCACACGTACCGTCACAAGGCACACGGTGGCGCCCAACCGCAAAACTGGTCACAATCGCACACGAGTCCCAGACGTAGCCAGAGTCTCCTGCAGCCTCCTGGTGACACGGAGTTGCCCGTGGTCACACAATGCATGCACAGTCACTCACGTGACACTCACGTGTCTCACTCACATGTTACAGCGCCACACGCCATCACACAGACCCCCCTACAGCCTTACACGGCCGGAAACACACAGCCACGCACACTCAAGCCGGTTGCACAGACACGGAGACCCCCCCCCCCCCGCCACTCACACCCCAGCCGGACAGGGGAGGCCACCTCACCTCCTGCCAGGTGTCCAGTAACATGATGTCATACTTGTCCAGGTCCTCTTGACTAAAGAACACCATTTCTGTGAGGACCAGGTGGCCCATGTGGCTGCAGCACTCAAACAGTCGGGGCTGGAAGCCGGAGACGTCCTCGGGGAGCCTGGCCAGCGTGGGCAGCCAAGCTGTGAGGGGCGCACACAGAACTACGCCTCTCGGCAGCCTGGACCGAGCCAGCCCTCGGCACAGGGCCCCCGCCCCAGGGGAGGGGACAGCTTCTCCCGGAGCGGATGCACGGGGCCCTCCTCTGGGCTCCCCCCATCCCATAATTCACTCCGGAGACGCCTTGCTGCTCTCCGGGCCCCAGCCTCAGCGTCCCCATCTGTCAGCGGGAAAGCACATTACGTGACCCGTCTCGCCACGGCCAGCTGTGACACAAGCCGCCCGGGAAGCTGCCCAGCAGTGGCCCCTGGGAAGGGGACGGCTGGCTTAGCGGGGCGGGGGGAGGGGTGTTGGGCGGGGGCCCTGCCCTCTCCTGGTCCGGGCTGGGAGCCGGCCTCAGGCCCGAGGTGGGAGAAGGGAAGCTAGGCTGAGAGAGGGGGACGGTCATACTGGGGAGCTCAGGGGACTTGGAGTGAGTACAGTGCCTACACCAGACCCGCAGACACACACAGCGGCCCTGACTCGGCCTCCTCCCTCGAAGGCCTCACCCGGCCTCAACCTCTGACACACACCCTTGTCCATGACACGCTCCACACACGCTGTTTATCCACATGTCACACCCACACCCACACCCCCCCCCACACCTGGTACCATGACCCCTGCGGACTTCGGGTTGGGAGTGGGGCTTTGCTCCCTTGTCCTCTGTCACTGGTCAGGTCCGGGACTGGGACAATGCAGGGAGCCTGTTCGGCCAGCAGAGGGCGCCACTAGCAAGCTCTCCCGGGCATCATCTTCCTGATCCCAGTTACCCAGGGGCCGGGGAGTGAAGGGTAGGCTGCGCTTCCGCGAACTCCTGGAGTGGGAGACCAAGAGGCCTCCGTGCTGGGGGGGGGGGGGGGGCCCCTCCAGCTCTCTGTGTGACCCTTAAGTGGTCACCCACCCTCTCTGGGTCTCAGTTTCCTCCTCTGTATAAGAACACCCTCCGCCCAGCCCCTGTCACCTCTTGTTGCCGGGGTAGGGAGCCGGGCCTCCCAGGGCCTCCCAGAAGCCGGGAGGCTCCTGACCCTCCAGCACCGTTTCCTTGTTCTCCCCAGAGACGGCAGTGACCGCCGTCCGCGCCATCTCTCGCTGGTCACCGCTGCAGCCCTGGCCCACAGAGAGCTGGGTCAGGCCCTGCAGGGGGAGGGGTCTTCACCTCCAGCCCCACCTCCCCCACTCACAGGGGACTCTGGGGAGCTGGGCCCGAGTCACGGGAGGCCAAGGCTGATGTCAGGGCACGCATGAGCAAGGGATCCCGCCTTCCCCCCTCCCAGGACTGGGACCCTCTCCTGGTCCAGAGAATGGGATGGGGACCCCAGGCTCGGGGGTCATTTGTGGTTTATGAGCATTGGAGGAAACTCTGGCAAACCGGACTAGGCCTCCTTTTCCTCCCCGAGAGACTTGGGAAGAGGGACATGCTCCTCGCTTGAAGCAGGAAGGAGGGGAGGCAGTCTGGGCCTGGCCTGCCTCTGACCAGCAGACTCCCAGGTCTACTAGTCACTTTCAACCTCCCCCCAGGTTCCAGAGGGACCCCACTCCTGGCCTAGCTGAGGCTGGACACGAAGTCTGCACCTCCTGGGAAGGAGACCCGTCCCTTGCCTGGCACACCACCCGAGGGTAAGTCGAGAGGTCAGTGATCTAAGTACCTTTCCAAACCAGAGGTAGCAGACGCTAGCTGTGACCAGCAAGAAGATGTCACGGGAGTTGAGGGCTGAGGCGCGGGCCGGTACCTCCACGGTCCTGGTGTTGCAGCTGTCGGTGCCTTGCACGTGGAAGAGCCTTGTAGCAGGTGCTGGCTGCTCCTTCCCATCGTGTCCCGTGTGCCCCTGTAAGAGGGCTGGGCCTCAGGATGAGGCAAGGGCTCCTGGGAGCCGCCCCCCTGTCCCGGTGATGGACAAACTGCCCTGGGGCCCACCAGACCCTCGCCTGAAGCCACCGCTATTTTCTAGACCCTCTGAGTGTAGAGCGTGAGGGTCCCGTCAGCCTATGACAGGGAACCAGGCCCTTTCTAAATGGATCTCTCCCCCATCTCCAAGGAGTCAGGGCACGGTTTCCCCCAGGCCTTATAGACAGAAAATGGGGACCCCAGGCAAGGCCCTGGGTCCCTTTCAATTCAACTTCTTCTCCTGTGCTTCTGCTTGGCGGCTGGCTCTGGGGACCAGGGGAAGAAGCTGAAGCGGGGGTCACTCTTGCAGCTCCTGGGTATCTAACGGCACCGGGAAACCTGGGGTGGTAAACGGGCCCCTGGGCTGAAGAGAAGCTTAGCACGTGCATGTAAGGGCTATGGGCACACGGAAGAGCCGGCGAGGCTGCGGGAACGGCAGCAAAGTGGGCCCCACCTGGAAGACCACCAGCTGGCCCTGGAAGATGGCGAGGAAGTGAGGGGGCTCGCTGCCCATGGTCACGTGCTCCTGCACCAGGGCTCCCCGGTACATGAGGTCCAGCTCCTCGGCATTGCAGTTCAGGGCCTTGACATCACGCGTGGTGGCGCGGTGGCCCTGCAGGTGGGGATGGCAGGGGCCGGGAGCGGCTCTTAGATCCTGTTCTCAGAGCCTCAGCTCTGGGGCCTGAAGGTGCCCACCACCCCTCTCGGGCCAGCGTACCCGCCACAGGTACAGGATATACTGGACGTGGCCCATCCTCTGGTAGGTGTAGAGGACGAGGTAGCAGTTGCCTGCACACAGCTGTGCATGACGCTCGGGGTCCACGGGCTGTCTGCCTAAGTCCTGGATGCACCACACCTGGAGAACAGAGGCCCAATGGGCGCGGCCGGCTCCTCCTCTCGAACCAGCCCGGCCAGTCTGTGCCCAGCCAGAAAGCTCCCCGTGGCCTCCGGGCCTGCCTCATCTCTGCCAGGCCTGCACAAGGATCTGCAGGTGACCCCTTCCGCCATGGGCCCCCGGGACCCGCCACACTTGCGCTGGCCCGCGGTCGGCGGGGACGCAGATGGCGTGCGGTGCCTGGGACGGACAAGCAGTGAGGGCTCCAGAGGCTGCTGGGACGGACCGGAGCCCTGCCACACACCGCCCTCACCCTGCCCCCGCCAGCCACGGCAGGTTAGGGGCAGGCAGCTCCTGGCACAGCCGCTCGCGGCTCAGGCCAAGGCTGCAGAAGCTGGGCAGACGCGAGCCCTTGAGCTCTGGGAAAAATTCTTTTCTCAAGTGTCACTTAAAAAGACAAAGCCTATTCAGAGACTGAAAGGAAAATACTTCCTCATACTGAAGAGCGTGATTTCCTGTTCCTATGGGTAGCGAGCATGGGTTCTGGAGCCTCAAACCCCAGGCAGGCCGTGGGGGCAGTGAGACCCTTCTGAGCTTCAGCCTTTCCTACCTGGAAAGTGGGCATAGCCACGCCCACCTTGACAATGGCAGGAAACAAAGTCTGGACATCATGTGCCCACACAGGGCCTGGTAGCGGTCTCTGGGGAAGGTGTCCTCCAGACCAGAGCAACCAGTCTCTTGCAGAAGAGACTGACTGGGACCACATGCGCTACCCAGGAGCAGCACTTCCCTGGCAGCTAGGCCTCCTGGATCAGGGGCTCCCCTGGCCGGCCTGCCTGCCTGTTGGAAGGGATCCCCTCCCGGCGTCTGTGCTTGGAGCCCGAGTGGCAAGACCTCCTTCCTTCCCACCTTTGCCCTCCCCTCTGTGTTGTCCCCCTGTGTACCCCATCTCTCTTGCTCTTCATCCCATCCCAACTCTGTCTTCTCCCTCCTCTGTCTTTCTCAGTCTCTTCTGTCTCCCCCTGTCCTCCTTCCCTCTCTTCCCTTCTCCCTGCTCCCCCACACCTTGCCACGTCTCCTCCTGTCTTGGTCTCTTCGAACAGCCTCTGTCCATCCATATTAGGACAAATACAGGAGGGAACCTTGGAGAAATGGCATTTCCTCTGACCTCGACCTACCTTGAGAACTAGGAGCCCTTCACATGGGCCCAGAAGTCCTGTTCCCAGAATTTTACAGCATCCCCACACCAGCCATGGGCCAGATGGAACCAGAGTTTTTGCCTCCACTTTATAGGTAAAAAAAACTGAGGCCCAGAGGAATGAAGGGCTCTACGAGGGATCAGATGAGATGTCAAGATGCAATCCCTACGTCTCCCAGAACACTGATCTGAGCCCAGGCGGCTGACAGTATGTGCCTGTGTGGGCGGCGACAGATTACATGTGACGCTGTACCCTGTCGGTGTGTTCCTGTGGGTTGAGCATTCTGTGTGTCTATGATCACATGTGATGCAGAATTTGTACAATTACATGTTTGCAGTTGGTTAACTTGGCTGATTGGGTGCAATTAGGTGTGTGCGTCTGTGTCTGTGGCATATGTACGGTTGTGTCATATATTCGACCGAAGGGCACAATCAAGTATCTTGAAGCGTTACCGTGCCGTGTGCCAAGTGTTACCTGAGCAAGTGGCCACAGCTGCACAGATTGATCAGGCGTCACGCGTACGAGCCAGCAGGAGGGAGGACGTGTGTATATGTACACACGCCCCTGGGTGTCCCTGCATAGATGCGCAACCTGGGGCACTTTAGCAGCCATACCATTCAGCTGAAGACAAAGTCTGCCCCTGTGTGCCTATCTTCTCCCAGCCGAGCTAATGTCCCCTTACCTCCACCTTCCCGGAAGCGTCGTCCACCATCCTGAGCTGGGCAGCTAGCTCAGGCTGACTCTGCAGCTTGCCCACATCCGGCCTTACCTGAATCGATTTACCTGACGGGAGGACACGGGGTGTCACGGGCGTCCTCGCCTTCGCCAACCGCGTCCGCCCATCACTCAAAAGAAAGCCCACTCTGGCCACGCTCCCCCACCCGGTGGCGCTTTCTGGGGGCTGCCCCCTGGCGGCCCCACTCTGTCCCCCGCAGACCCCGCTCCGCGTGGGCCGCGCCCCGCCCCAACTATCTCCCGCGCCTGGTCCCGCTTAGTCTTCCGTCCAACACGAGGTCCAGGGTGCCGTCCCGCGCGGGCCCCGCCCCGCCCACTCTCCCATCCCGCCCAGGTTCTGGGTGCGGCCCCACGCCGGCCCCGCCCCAAGGCCACGCCCCCGACCTTGTCCCGCCCGCTCTTCCATTCCGGCCGAAGTCCCCGCCCCACCTCTCGGGCCCCGCCCCGCAGGCCCCGCCCCGCAGGCCCCGCCCCGCAGGCCCCGCCCCGCGCGCTCACTTAGCCTGCCGAAGTTCTTGTTCCCGCGCTGCTTGGTAGACCAAGACTGGAAGAGCTGTTTAAACGAGGCCGACTCGGCGCCGTCGTTCACCACCTCCACGTTGGTGTAGGTCGGGTAGCCTTTGGCCTGGATGAAGCGCTGGAGCGGGGGCTCTGTCAGGCGTGCGGCCCGAGGGCCCAATTCTCCGCTCCACCCTCGGGGACCTGACGCTCAGCTGAGCGCAGAGCAGTATTAATTAACCGCGCTCATGACCCGCTTAAGAAGCTGGCTCCTTTACTACCGACTTCTCTGAGGTCCCTGAGGACAAGCAAGGTCCCTTTAGTCTGCGCCTCGGGAAGGGCGGCCCATGACAACCGCCGCGCCCTCCAGGCGCCAGGCAGAGCCCTGTCTCCCCTCCTCGACAAGGAGGCGGTGCCCAGAGCGGCTTGCTTCTCAGACCTCAAGGCAGGTCCACGTTTTACACGAGCACCCTTTTACACATGGTTTCTTGGGTGCTCGCTCCCCCAACCCCTGTCAGGGCTCCCAGGGCAGGCTGCATGCCCCTGGTACCAGAGAGGGACCCTCGGACCACTAGGCAGAACTGTGTCCCCGTCATCAGATTGGGCGCTTTGTCTCCAGGCTTAGACCCCAGGGCAAAGCCATGTCCTCCTCTATCAGACAGGCTCCTAGGGCAGGATGGATCCATCTCCTGGCCCAAGGATAGGACTACCTTCCCTTAAAGGCCCCCAGGAATGGATGTGTCCCAGCTTAGATTTCAGAGTACTGCCATTTCTTCCCTCAGACCCCAGGGCAGCTCAATGTCCCCTTGAGACAGGGCCCAACAGCTTTACCAGAGCCCGGCTGAAGGCAGCCTTTTTCTCTTGGAGGCTGGACAGGCGTCCCTGCCACACGTAGATCTTGAAACCACCCTGGTCCAGGATATAGTAGTCCTGGGAGCAAGACAGGGACTGGTTGGTAGGTGGCCCAGACTGGGCTGGGGTCGTGGGTGGGCGGGGATGCATGACGAGCCGGGGACCAGGCCTGTCTCACCTCTTCCCGCAGTAGGTCTTGGGTTAGTGGGCAGGTCGCCAACTCCTGGATCACCAAGTCCTCATCCTTTTCACAGACACTGGGGGACAGGCATCCAGAGGTGGGCAGCTCAGCCCCTCCGTGGGCTCCACTCCAGCCCCCTTTAGTCCTCGCAGAGGCAGAAGGCATGGGGTCTGGGGCCCCAGGTTGAAGTCTTAACTTCACCACAGCCTTGCCGTGGAGCCTTAGGCTACTCTCTGGCCCTCCAGTGCCTCAGTTGCCCTATCTGTACAATGGATTTCTCAGAAGAGCAGTCATGCAAGAGTACAGGCTGGACCCAGAGCCCCACATGGCTTGCTCCAGAAACCCACGGGCCTTTTCTGGAGGCCTTTCTAGAGACACTGTGTTACGGCTGGAACGACAGACGTGCAGACCCAGGCATGCAGACTCCGCCCACTCCCAAGATCTGCTCACTGGTAGAGACGGACGCTGGCTTTCTGCAGCTGGTTAACACTCTTGTCGGGCCTGGTGGCAGGCACGTTGCCCACTCTGCAGCCCAGCACGGCTTCCATGATCCGCATGAGGTCAGTGGCTTCAACTTCATCATCCACCACGCCAATCTGTGCGCGACCACCGCGCTGCCTGTCCCGGAGGCTGCAGGTCAGGGCCAGGCCCTGCAGGAGAGGACCTGGCAGTCAGGGCTTCCCCAGCATGGCCCCCGCTCACCGCTGACAGTCTATCCCAGATCCTTCCCGTCGCAGCTCAGCTCCCAGAGGCTGGGGTCAGGGGCAGGGTCTGGACTCAGCTTGCACATAGCAGGTGCTTCTGAGGTTGTAGTGGCACAACCAAGCCCACCTCCTGAGGGGTCTGGAGAATGGACACCCTTCTCCCTGAGCCCTGCATCCCTTAGTTCCCAGGGTAGACACTGACCCGTGCCTTCTCAGGAATGCTGGTCTCAGGCCCATTCCACTGGATCATCACCTTGCCCAGGTCCAGCAGGAAGATGTCCCCCTTATTAAAGCTGCTCCAAGAGAGCTCCACCTGCCAGAGCCAGGAGGGACAGGCCAGGAAACAGGGTGCCATACCACCAGCACCCAGGTGGAGGGGCGCCACAGCCCATCTCCACCTACATGAGCACAGCTGACTCGTGTGCACGAGGCTGTGTGCAACCTGGTGTATGTGTGACCACTGCACCAGTATTGTGGTGTGTAAGCACGCATCTGTGTCACCGTATGAGACCTTGAAGGTCACCCTGTGGGTGTAGCTGTGTGCCTCTCTAGGCACTACCGGAGGTAATGCTGCATTTCACGGGATCTACAGGATTATGACACTCTTCCCTCCATGCATGTCTGCAGCTGCACATCTGTACGCGTAATGTGTACACAAGCGGAGCGTATCTGTTTACCCATGGGTGTAGATGTGTGTGTACACGCTCAGGTGTGCGTATATGGGGGCACATCAAATGGGAACCAGGGCGTGAGCTCGTGGGTGACAACGTACGTGTCTCCGCATGGGGGACAACGTGCTATCCGTGGAAAAGGATAGTTATCATCCAAACAGAGACACTCTGGGGAGTAAAAGGACGCGTGCTGAATAATTATGCCAATGTGATGGGCAAAACCTGGGCTGCGCATTGTCCCTGCACGACCAGGGATGTATGGTCACTGAATCTGTGGGAGCCAGCATGTGCGCCCGCGGGTGGTGAGGACGATGCGCCCGAAGAGTGTGGGGCTGTGCACCCCCCACCCCACAGCATGCTACTGCCCACGGTGCTTACACAGACCATCCGGGTGCACCGTTTGGTCCGCCTCGCCTCCCCAAGTTCTTAGTGTGCCCACGGGATGGGTGAGAAAACAGGATCAGAGGAGCCACGGAGGGGTGGGGCTGGCAGCCTGGCTCTGCCTTCCCCCTCCTTCTTCAAGATGGGCCACTGGGAATGCCGACAGCGACAGCGCACGGTGCCCCCACCGCCCGCCTCCACCCTCCGCGCTTCCCTGCACTTCCGCACACAGTCCGACCTGAGCCCGAAGATCAAGCGACACCCGGGGCGGTCCTCACCTCGGCGGCCGACACGTGCTTCCTCCCCTGGACGTGCAGCAGTCGCTGGATGTTGTACAGGTTGGTCTCCACGTGCGTGAGGGCAGAGGCCAGGCCCCCTCTCCTGTAGCTGGGGTGGGGGCGGGGGGGGGGAGGGGGAGGGCATCACAGTTAAGACCCTCCACAGCTCCGTGCAGGAGTGAGTGCAGGTGTGAGCACACACGTGTGCAAGCGGATATAAAAAGTGTGCACAAACGCATGAGCACACACACACATGGGGCGGGAGTGTGCGTGTAGATAGGCGGACACGTGCGTGTACCTGTATGTGTATGCGTGCAGGGCGTAGTATGTTTATCCGTGTATAGATGTAAATACATGCATGTTGTGCACATGCGCACGTACCTGTATACCATGTTTGTATACTTGTATACCACGTATACAAGGAGGGGCATAAGGGCATCTGTTTATCCACGTAAGTATAGATGTGAGTGCATGCAATTTGGCAGCAGCACGTTTGTGTGCACACAGACACGCACATTGACGTACATGTGTAGACGAGCCCTCCTATAGGCCCATCGTATGGGCATGGTGTGTTCTCTGCGGGTGCGTGCACAAATGCATTCCCTTAGGGGGTTTAAGTGTACGAATCAGAAATGACCCAATACAGGCATTTTCCTACGGTTTAACTGAATATGTTGCAGTTATTAATTTAATACGTTGTGAAGCAATTTACAGCAAAAGACATGTTTCTAGCGGGCACAGTAACGGAAAGGCAAACTGAAAACACCCTTGGCGTCCACGCCGGGGTATACACCCAAGGGAAATGAAAAACACGTCCACACAAAAAACTTGTAGAGGAGGCGGACGTCAACCAAGTGCAGTGTGGTGATCACTTCACGCTGCCTCTAAGCCACAGCATCAAGCTAGTGATGCACGTCAATTATATCTCGATAAAACTGGGGGGGAGGGGGGGAACCCGTGCGTACAAATGTTAACAACAGCATTACCCATCACAGGCCAACGTGGAAGCAATCCAAACATCCCCTAAGTGATAAATACGTAAATAAAATGTGTTCTATCCCCATACCATGTGTCGTACGGTTCCATTTATAAACATGTCCGGAATAGGCAAATTTTTGCAGACTGGATGAAGAAAATGTGGGGGTGGGGGGCGGGGGGCGGGAAGGGAGAGCGTTGGGAAAGGTACGGGGCTTCTTTTGGGGTGACAAAGGTGTTCCGCAACTGTGGGCACGGTTGCCCAAGTCGGTGAACGTACTAAAAAAAATCACCGATCGTATACTTTACATGGGTCGGTTGTGTACAAGTGGGGGCATAAGCGTATCTGTGAATTGGGGCAACATGGTAGGGTATGAGAGTTGTACCCCAGAGAGGACGTCTCCCCCTCGCCCGACACCCCCACACCAGGGAGGAGAAGGTCACCCCAGGCCGCCCAGCCACCCGCCGACCCGAGGCCCCGCCCGCACTCACATGATTCCCGAGCGGAAGTAGCTGCGGAAACAGTCGGACTCGTGGCCCTGCGCCTCCCGGTGCTGCACGGTGGCGCCACCCAGCGTCTCCTGCAGCTGCTGCACGAAGGCTTCGGCAGCGTCCTGCGCCTCGGCGCCCGCCTCCTTCCCCGCCCAGTAGTGCAGGTCGCTGCACGCCCCCTGCGTGGCCTTGAGGCTCTGGGGAACCTAGGGCCCAGGTGTTTGGGGGTGGGGGGTGCAGAGGCCCCAGGGGTGGGGTGGAGACTGAGACCCAGGATGCACTGAGGGCCTTGAGGGGACTGGGCAGGCGCCTCCCCGGGGCTGGAGGTCCAAGGGGGGGCAAAGAGGCCTCAAAGGCAGGAGCCCCCTTGTAGGCTGGATGCTCTGGCTGCCGGCCTCCCTCTTCCTGGGATGGAGCTTGGTCTGCATCAGCAGACTCCCCAGCCGGGGAGTCCCCACCCCTCAGACAGACTCCCCAAATGCTCACATGGAGGACGATGTAGCAGTGCTCCTCGAAAAAGTTCCCATAAGCCTTCTCGGGTACTGGTGCCATCCTCAGGTTCTGGGAGAGGAGGGTGCCTAGTGACAGCTCAGCAGGACCGTCCCCCAGCCACCTACCCTCCATGACCCTCTGGGGTGGGGGACAGGAGGGAGCTCCGAGTTGGTGGCGGGAGGGAGAAGCCTAGTCTCAGAGACTGCGCACTCTCTGTGTCCCCAGTTCTGCTGTCTGGCTGTGCCCCTCACCTCGATGATCCATACGTGGAGGTCCCTGCGGCTCTCAGTGGCTGGGAGGCCCTTGTTGACGTCCATCCTAGGCCAGGTGGGAACGAGGGAAGAAACAAAAGCCAGAGTCCTCAGGCCCCGGCCACCTGTGCTCTGGGCTCCAGGCAAGAACTCTCCCCACCTGCAGCTCTCCAAAGCGCTGTCATCATAGAACAGGCCTTTCATTCAGGGGCTCTCAAGTCACAAATGGCAGCAGAGCAGGACAGACCCTGGCACAGAGGCTTTGCAAACAGGGAACAGGTTTGTCGTCTGTGGTCGTGCTCCTGAAACAGGGCCAAGCTCTGTGGGCAGGGATGGGTCTTGAACATAGGGACCTCTGCAAGCAAGCAGTGAGAAACAGGCTGTGCAGACAGACGAGATCTGCAGTCAGGGGCAGTCACTGGAGACAGAGGCAGGTTATGCAGACAGGCAAAGGTTGTGCTGGGAACAGAACCGATTCTGCAGCCAGGGGCAGACCCTGCACACAGACTCCTGGTATTCGACTGAATCCTGCAGACAAAGACAGGCTCTGCGTTGAGGGACAGAGCTGCCAATAGGCCTGGGTCTTCCAGGCAGGCAGGGACAGGCTATGCAAAGAGACACGGCACCCTCGGAGAGTGATAGGCTATGCGGATAGAAAAAGGCTCTGCATACAAGCATAGGCTCTGCAAACAGGGACAACTTCCTCAGACTGAAGAAAGGCATACAACAAGCACAGGGTCTCTTGGCAAAAATGAGTTCTGTAGTCAGGGACCAACTGTCTGTGTAAGGACAGCCTGAACAAAGAGACACCGACTCTATCCAGGGAAAGTCAGACAAACAAGCAGCCGGGCAAACAAGCGAAGGTCGTGAACACAAAAAAGACTCTACGAACAGCTCCCGATTCCGCAGGCGTGGAGGAACTTTGCAGGTGGGGAAAGACTTTGTCAATGTGGGTGGGGACAAACCCTTAAGGTAGGTATCCTTTATATAAGGGACAGACGGCAGATACGGACAGGTACATAGATACGCAAGGCTCTGCAAACAGCACAGCATCTGCTCAGACAGAGGCAGTCTCTTGAAGTAAGCAAAACATCTCTAGGCATGGTCCGACTCTGCAAGCAGGAACAGCCTTGCAAAACAGACCCAAATCCTGCATACAGGGAGATGGGAACAGGCTGGGCAAACCATCATGAATGCTGCGAAGAGATCCAGACTCTGACAAAAGACACAGGCTCTGCAGACGGAGGCTGTACACACAGAGACCTGGCAGATCGGGAGAGGTTTTGTAAGCTGACAGTGCTCTGCAAACAGACGGGTTCTGTTAACAGCGACAGCTTTTCAGAGAGGCAGGGTTTGCTGAAATGAGCGGGCAGGGAAATCAGCTTTGCGTTCAAGCACGGGTGTCCCAGACTTGGGCAAGATCTTGAAACAGGGCTGGGGTGTGTAGGGAGCCCAGGTTCTGCAAACAGGGACAGACCTCATAGAAAAAGATGAATTCTGGCAACAGATAAAGGCTCTGTGAGTAGGGGCACATTCTGCTAACAGTTACACGTAGAATTAGGAACAGAGTGTGCACACAGGATAGGCTCCGCAAACGGGAATGTGCTCCGCAGAGAGACACAGGTGCTCCCAGATAGACACGGTGACCTCTGACAGTGATAGCTCTTCATAGGAATGGCTCTTACAAGCAGGTACAGTTTTTATCCAGGGAAATTCAGATGGGGCGTGCAAACGGCTAGAGGCCCCCCCCCCCAAAATGTCAGAGGTTGCACAAATAGGGCTCAGGTTTCGCAGACAGAACCGGACTCTGAAATAAGAAAAGCCTCTGCAAACAGAGGCATAGTCTAGAGACAGACTGCGGAGAAAACAAGGTCTGCTGACAGGGACGGACACTGCAAACAAAGCTCTGCACACGGGAACAATGCCTTCAGGCACAAAGAGGCAAACTCCCCAGGCAAACTCCGCAGACAGGGAGAGGTTCTACGCGCAGGGCAGCGTCTGCCATGACAGCAAATCTTGGACCCAGGGAAGTAGGGACAGACCCTCTAGAAAGCCAGGTTCTGAAAAAAGACTCTGGAAAGAGCCTCAAGACACAGGCTCAGGAGGCACGCCGAGAAGACGAGGTTTCTGCAAACTCGGGACAGGCGGCACACAAGGATGGCCTCCGACGACTGTGGTAGCGAGCAACAGGCTTAGCTCGCGAGAGAGGGTGGGGGGAGTCAAGCATGGGCCCTCTGAAATCCCCGAAACAGAGCTGAACTCTCGACAGACCCTGCGGACGGCCACAGACTCTGCAAACAGTGGCTGAGCTCCCGCCGTGCCCAGTGGTTCTGAGTGGGCCTAGGAGGGCCGCCCGGAACGAGAGGCATCTGGGGAGGCCGGAGGGGGGCTCTGGGTTTTGTTGCGTCTTCGCAGGATGACTCTCGGCCCCCCCCAGGCTGCCCTGTAGCGTTCCTCCAGGAACCTGTGTGTGAGGTCCGGTCGTCCCTTCATCCGTTGGAGTTCTTTCTTCCATCTAACCTAAATCCGGCCGGCTGCAGCTTTTCTTGTCGCTGCGGCTTTGCCCGGCGGACCCACAAGTCACTTCCGTCTGAAGTCCTCCTTCCTAGGGACCCCCAGCGTAGCGTTCGCTCCTCTCTTCTCCCCGCAGGAACCCCTGTGGCTCTGCTGACCCTGCACGGCCCCGGGGCGGACTCGGTGGGAGAGTCCGAGAGAGGCAGAGGCCTCTGTGACTCATGCCAAACAGCCTGCATTCCTTCCACCTTTGTCCAGAACGCTGAGGGCTGGGCTCCCGGCCCTGGTGAGCTCACCGCTGACTGGGGGAAACTCCCAACCCTCTCGCGCGGCCTCTGGAAGCGCGGAGTGGGGGAGGGGGCCGCCCAGGGTTAGAGCTGCCCTCGAAGGCTCCGGGGGCCGTCGAGGCCGTGGCCACGCTCTCCCTCGCTGGCGCGGAGGGCTGCCAGGGCCAGGGGCTTGTGCTCTCACGGACCCGCCAGCTCCCAGTCGCCCGCCCGCCACCCAGCAGGTACTCGGTGAACAGCCGTCGAGCGGACGGAGCCTGCTGCGCACCGAGTGCAGGGGGACGGGGAGCGGGGTCACCCTGTGCTCTGACGGCACCCGCGACTGCTCTTGCAGTACGTGCCTTTGGGTGTGACGGAGACATGCGTGACAAGCGGGCCCGGTGGTCGCGTAAAGGTGGTCCCAAGCACCAGAAAACGTGCGATGCCGCTGAGGGACAGGCGGCATGGTGACATTCAGCGGTGATGGGTAGCGACGGCGACCGGGGCACAGGTGGGCGGTGGCCAGAGGTACAAACTACGGGCTGTAGAGCATGTGACAGCGTGAAAGCGCGACAGGGTGACGGGAAGCGTGGCTGGCCACCAGGGGCCCGTGGGGGACAGGAGAGTCAAACTGGAGGCCAGGAGGTTGGGCCCGGGCTACTTTCACCAGGCAGGGTCAGCAGCACCCACAGGGGCTGGGTTCCAGCCCGGGGAGCCAAATTCTCAGGCGCCCAGGGCCTGAGGCCCTCATCCCCATGTAACCTGGGTGGCGGGGGCAGGGATGCTGACGGGGAGGGGGGCCGCTCTCTCCAGCACCCCCTCTCTCCTCCAGGCAGCCTCCTTCTCCCTCAGGGGGGCCCTTCGCTTCCCAGAGCACCTCCTCTAAACTGCCAAGCCCTCCCACCCTAGATGTCCCCTCTTCCCCTGGGTAACTCCCTTCTATCACCTACCCTGCGGCGGGCCCCCCACTGTGTCCTCTCTCCCCCCCCCTTCTGAAAGCCCCCTTCTTTTCCTTGGGGGCTTGCCCACTCCAGCCTGGGGCCCCCTTCTCTCCCAGATGCCTGGTTCCTCTTCTGACAAACCCATCTCCCCCCTTCCCTGTTCCCTCTCCGTTCCTGGGCGCCCCTCTGTCCGCACTGGGCAGCCCCTCCCCCCCATCCTCCTTCCCCAGCCCCCTTCTTTCTGCCTTCCCTGCCCCCAGTGCTCCCTTCTCTCTCCCAGACCCCCCTACCCCCTTTCCCTGCTACACCCCCTTTCTCCCCCGGCCTCTCCTCCTCTCCCCTGCGTTCTTCTCACCGCCGGGCGCCCCTTTCCTTTTCCAGACACCCCCTCCTTTCCCAGCCCCCCTCCTCTGGCGCCCAGTGGCCACTTCCTCCTCCTGAGGTACCTGTGAAAGGGCGCGCACCCTGAGGTCACTTTGCCTGCTGGAGTCTGAGGAGGGAGGGCCGGGCCTGGGCCTCCAGGTATGCGGAGTCTGGGCGACAGAGGCCCCACCTGTACAGAATCTGCCACTTTCTCCCCGTCAGGCTCCCGGCCCGGGCCTCCCTGCCCCCATCAGTGTTGCTCGCTGCCCTCCAGGTTCCGGTGGCCCCCTGGCAACCCTGAGCCCCACGACCCCTTGCTAGACACCCCTGACTCAGAGCGGCCCCTCCCAGCCGATTCTGGAGCCCCCTCCTTGCCAGGCCTACCTGCTGGAAAGTGCTCTCTTTCCCGGCCAGTGGGCAGTGCTGGGTCTGTCCCCCAACCTGTTCCTGCATGAAACTCAATCCCTGCTCCTGCCCAGGAGGACACACCCCACTGCCTGAGGGCTGGGCTTCCAATGTAGTCAGTCAGTCAGTCAACAAATATTGACCCAGCTCTCTGAGAACCACCCCGTCCCAGGCTCGTGGCTGGTCTGCCAGGCCTCAACTCCTGGGTACTGGTGGCCAAGAGACAGCAGGGCACGGAGGCCTGGGCTGGGCCAAGATGTGGGCTGTGGAGTATACTGTGACTTTCCTTCTCTGAGAGCCTGATGAGCCTCTCTGATCCTTGCCCACCCCCCCCCCACCCCCACCCCCACCCCCACCCCCACCCCCAGAAGGCCAGGTCACTCCAACAAACTTTAGAAGGAAGGAGGACCGAGCCTATTGAAGGTGGGGGTGGCAGTCTGGCTCTGTGAGACCCAGGTCATTTCAGGGCCCGGAGGTGGCCAGGGCTCCCTCTAGCATCTCTGCTGTCCTCCCTGCTCCCAATTTGGGTTTGCTCACAGCACAGCCCTCCCCGGGGAGCCCTGATGCCCTTCGTGGGAGAGGCCAGTCCAGCCCTTGCAAGGAAGACACCTTTCCCACACCTCGGCCTGCTCCCAGCTTTCCTTCCTGACTGTAGGGCAGGGGAGGTGCTGAACATAGAGCGTTCCAGAACTCTAGGAACAGGGCCACCCTTCCTTTAGGCCACAGGCCTCGGTCCCAGCCACGGCCCAGCCCGTGGGACGCCTCTGCTGGACACACTGCTGAAACCTGCCCAGTGGCCCCCATGTCGGGCCCTCACCCCCACTGCTCCCTGCCACAGAGAGGGGGCGACTCCAGGAGATCCGGGTCGGCCTGTGCCCCCAGTAGGACCTACTGCCCGTATGCGACTCTGTCGTTGGTGTTTTCTTTTGTAAGTCCTACTTTTAAAACAATTAATTTAAATTCTAGTTATTAACGTGACTGTGTTTAACCGACGGAGTGAAGGGGTCCCTGTGTGTGAAGGGATGCCTGTGTCCCAGGGCAGTTGGTTAGTCCCTGTGTGTGTCTGACCTTGTGTGTGAGAGAATGGCTGTTAAATCCCCTGCTCCCTTCTATGACGGTGTGTGTTTGGCTCCACCTGTGCACGCCTGTTGCCCTCCTTCTTTTGTCCCCATGCTCAGCAAAATCCCGTGTCCTCATCCCTCACTTCCTGGCCTCAGACTGTCCCCTCTGTGCGCTCTGCGTGGCCTTTGTTCCGGAAGTCCCTGGAAATTTCTCTTTCCAGTGTCTGCTCTTGTCACAGCCGGTGGTTGGTTCATCGTATCCTCCTACTGCCCAGGGACCCCGCGGACCACCCCTTCCTCTGGAAACAGCACACAGACTCAGTGTTCTGCCCCCTCACTGGCCACTCTGCCCTCTCTGTTGGGACCTTCAAATGTCAGCAGGCACACAACTCGGGCCTTAGCTCCCGTGTCTTTTCTATTTTTTTCCAAGTTCCACGTTCCCAGGCTGTAAGTACCAGGGAAACCTTAGTGTCTCTTCCGACACCGACTCCCGCTCCTCCCGTCCCCCACCTGTCTTGTCACACGTCTCCTGGCAGGTCGGACCTCACACGTGACATCCATCCTCTGCTTCAAACCTTCCAGTGGCTTCCCTAAACAAAGCCCCAAGTTGCCTGTCCCTCTGGCTGCCTCTCCACTCGCCCCATTGCTCACTGTGTTGAAGCTACACATTTCTCATTGTCCCTTAAGACACCAACCTCATTCTCGTCTCTGGGCTTTTGTACTTGGTGTTACCTCTGCCAGCAGCCTCTCCCCTAACTCTTCCCTCGGCTCCTTTTCTGCCTTCTGGCCTCAACCAAAAATGACACTTCCCCAGAGGGGCCTTCCCTGAGCATGTTAGCTAAAGCAGGGCTCTTCTCAGCCGCCTGCCACGTTCCTCATCTTCCTAGCGCTTCCAGAAGCGGATCACCTTACTGACTGGGCTCTTGTTCAGCGTCGCGGTCCCCAGTTGCAGTGGGAGGTCCAGGGGGCAGCGCTCTGCCCGCTGCCGTGGCCGGCATTTCGAATGGTGCCTGGCACACCATAGCTGCTTAATAAATCTTTGTTGACGTCCTCCTGAGTCTCTGCCCTGATCACCTGGCTCCTTTGCTGGGCCCCTTCCTGAAGCAGAGGCCTGGAGTTGAGCTTTCCCCGGAAGTCGGGTTCCACTCCCAGCCCAAGGGCCCATGGGCTGCGGGATTCTGGACCCACTCCTCAGGCTTTTTCTGAGCTGACATGTCCTCCTGTGAGAAGGCATCTCTCTCTCTCTCTCTCTCTCTCTCTGTCTCTCTCTTCTGGGATTATCTCCGAAGGCCAGGCGGAAGGCTAAGCCAGCTCAGCTATAATATTGACAAAGGGGTAGGTGTGGCCCGCGGTGGGCGGGGCAGACGCGGGAAGCCGGCCACGCCCCTTCCGGCCTCGCCCCCAGGATCGCGGCGCTCTGGTTGTCCAGTGGCTGTCCCAGGTCTCATCAGAGTCCCCTCCGAGACAGATGCTCCTCGTGGAGACCAGGTCCTGCAGGCGGTGCGCCCCTCCGGAGTTCAGTCGAGGCGTGGGGGCGCCCCCACGAGGGAGCAGATGGGGCGTGGGGTGGGACTGCCTGGGGTCTGAGTCCCACTACCTGAAAACATCCGGACCCCCACGCCTTTCAGGAGAGCAGCCCACGTGGGCCCCTACATCTGGTTACAGGTCACGGAGGAGCAGTGACACCGTCACCAGGGCCCAAGAGCGACTCTTCGGAGGGCCCCGTGGTGGGAACCGCTAGGGACCGAGGAAGGTGGGGGGGGGGGTCTGTCGCTGTGCCCTCAGGGCCACCATTCTGATGGGCCTAATGGAGCCCGAGGATAGCCCCCAAAAGAGCCCTGGGTCCCTGCATTCAAGGAGGTGTCGCTGCTTTGCGTTCCTGCGGCTCCGGCTGTGTGACTATGTGATTGTCCAGCCATGCCCCATCAAGGCACCGCTAGGACCAGGATAGGGGGCTGGGAAGTGGCAAGGCCCAGTTAGGTTGGTGGGCATATTCACTCTGCTCCCCACCTCAGTGTAAAAGCAGGGAGCTGCGGGCCATGTGTGGCTCTTAGGAGCCCCTCCCCACCCCTGCCTTGGGAAAGGCTCCCAGTGCCCCTGTGGGGTTTTCTTTGTAATTTTCTGGGTTTCCTGACCTTTTAGCCATGACCACGTATGGCTGATCCTTCCGGTAAAGCAATACGTGCCATTTCCTCTAAGCCCTGTCCGTAACTCCTTTGCTGTATCTGGGTGTCAGGCCTGAGACAGCGTGGGGGACTTTTCTTTCCTTAGGCCTTGCTGAAACTTTGAGTCTTCTGGGGCACTTGAAGATACGATGCCCACTCTCAGGGGGTTGGGCCTCAGGTGATTGTAATGGGGAGCCAGAGCCGAGAATCACTGGGCTGAGAGATGGGGCTGTAATGGAAGTCTGAGACGGAAAACCCTGGAGCCCACATATCCTCCTCCTGAGTGCTGGAGGGTCCGGTATGTTCTCCTTGAGATCAGGCTGGTGGCCATGCCAACTGGTGGCTCTGGGCCTTGAGCAGCCTATTGGCCCCCGGGAAGCCCCAGCACAGGAGATCCGCCCTGTACGCATCCCAGTCATTCCGAGGACTCTGCCCCAAGCCCCCAGTGCATCCCCCATCCATCAGCTCAACAGGCTGTCTTCCTAGGTTGGCTTTTCCCGGCTACTCCTCCCCTCCCCTCCTTGCCTTCCTGCCCATTGTTTGGTCCTAGAATATGTGCTCAAACAAGAAAACATCAGGAGGAAAATCTCAGCCTGCCCACGTCCCAAATAAGTGACCCTTGATGACGTATGATTCCTTCCCCCCATCCAGAGGATCTACGGACATTCGCGGGGGCACCTCAGCTTCAGGGGCTGCCATAACTCTCAGCTATTTGTGTGTTTGGCTGTACACGGAGGTGGGAAGCAGTTGTGGGTACGGGGGCGATGCCAGAGAGGGCAAGAGGAAGGAAAGCTGGGGTGACTTCTCTGGCCGGACAGTTTCCCCACTGGACAGGGCACGGGGGTGGGGGTGGGGGGGGTGGGGCGGGGCATGGCACAGACTGGCTGTGGGGGATTCCGGGGGGTTTTGTCTTTGGTAAATACGTTTCCTGGGCCGACCCACACGCTGTGTACTATGTGGTTTGGGATGAGTGAATGTGCCGGTGGAAGCCTGTGACCCAACGACTGAGCGGCAGTTTCCCTGGCCTCAGTTTTCTCATCCACCGAAATGGGTGAGACCCAATGAGACTGTTGCCACCGGTGTCCTTTGCTATCTGAATCAGGGAGCTCTATGAAGAAACAGTCCTGAGAGTGGTGTGGCCATGCCCTGGCTCTGCCGCGACTCCCCGGCAGAGGGGCACTGGCTGCCCCTCTCACCTTCGTGCACAGAGGGGCTGAGGGCAGGGCCTGGAGAGTGTCCCACTGGGGGAACGCGGTCTTGAATATCCTTACTCTTTCTATCCCTTGCTGTGCTCCAGCTGACAATCCCAGCATCTCAGGCAGCGCGCCCAAGGGCTCTGGGTTTAGGGTACCTTACTCCACACACAATGCTGGTGGCGCCGACGGGGCGCCCGGGGAGGGGGGGTGCTGTGGTTCTCTCTGCGTGTGGAAGCCGGGAGCCACCGGGGGAGCCACACTGCTTCCGACTGGGGAGACTCCACCAGGGGGCTTAACACTGGGCGGGACAGTTTTCCAGCCTCCCCTGGGGTCATGGTGCATGGCCCCTGGGGCTGCTGCAGCTCGCCCCCTCCCCCCCCCCCCCACCGGTCTGGTCTGCCCAAGCTGGGGCCCCAGGAGCCCCGAGGCGCTGGCTTGAGGCCGCGCAGGGGGAGGGAACAGAGAGGGGGAAGAGACGCCGGCGCCGGAGAAGCAGTCCATCCACAAGAGGGCGCAGTTTCACGTGTTTATTTTTGGCAGGAAGGAAATCATTGCAAACCTCTCGACGGACAAGGCTCGCCCCTGGAAACGTGCACATTCCACATGTAGTATTTCCCAAGTAACGCTGGCTTGTTTATCACATTCAAATGTCCAACAGAAATCCACGACTACCCAGGCACCAGAATCTCCACTACGGGTGGGGGGAGGGGGGTGTTAGTCTGCAGAGAAGCTCCCTGGAGAACGAACAGGAACGGACCCCATCAAATTTACAGCGAGATAGGAGCAGAGGCAGCCAGTGGGTTTTGCTCGGGTAACTGCAAGCACGTCAAGCCATCCACTCTCTTCTCGAACCCTGGCATGCCAACTGCCCATCACAGCACCTTTAAAAGCAGAGGCACAAACGTCACGAGTGTTTGACCCTATAGGGCTGTGTGGTTCTAGATTTTATCAGAGGGCCGTCTTTAAAAATAGAGGGTCTTCGATGTTGCCAGGTTATATAGACTTACAGATTTCTTTTTCCAGACCAGCAGTTCAAATGCTGCAACCATGACAAGTCAGTGTCATCAGGGCCTCACGTCTCCAAAGTCACCTCATCAAAACTGCACTGTGTCAAAGGAGCTTCCCCACCAACCATGGGTTGTGACAGGTGGTGTTCCTCCTTGGGATACAGATACATGGTTTACAAACAGCTAATGTGTGAAACCGCAGACCAACACGGAGGATTCCCGAACAACGGAAGACAGAGCAGTGACAACCTCGGATGCCTGGGCACCTCCACTCAAGGCCCGGCCAGAGACGCCATAACATCACCGGGGCGGAGTCCACAACCCAACATATCTCGCCCCAGATCTTAATGTAAAAAATACTTGCCCAGGAGACTATATATTAACCTGGTACCAAAAGGGCCGTGGAGACTCAGGAGGTCGGGTTTCTCTTTTGGTTGAAGAGTTGGGGCGGCGGGGCTGGGGTGGGGTGGGTATTTTGGTAACATGGGAAGCAATATGGCACAGAGAAATAGCTAATAGGGTTCATTAGGTTTTAAAGCCCACAATTTAATAAAAGGTAATAATTAAAAACAATACCCGTATTTACCTTAAAAAACATAAACCCCAAACATTCATCTCATTTCTTGGCCTTATGTTAGAATTCTATTGCTTCATTTACATGTAGATGATTAAAAATATAGAGAGAGATCTAGATATTCTGGTTATGTACACAAAGCAGAATCGAGGGTTAAAACAAAAATGGAATTTTGGAGTGTGGTCAAATAAGGTGCACAGAATCCAGAACCCTCGGGGGGGGGGGGTCTGCTGGCCCCCCCCTCCCCGAGACACTCTGTGTCCTGTGATGGCAGGAACCGGGCTCCATCCCCCACAATCGTGCAATGGTGCTCACGGTTTCAAGAACTACTAGGTGCAGTGTTTGGCTCAAGCTTGCCAGTGTCTTCACTCCGTCTCTGAGAAGTGGGACACTGTTCCTAGGTCCGATTCCCCTGAAATACTCTAGAACTTCGTCCTCTCTGCCCCCTGTTCCAGAGAAGACCTCATGGTGCCAGCAGAGAAGAGGGCATGGCTGAGGGTCTGGGGCTCTCACCAGGACCGATTTCTGTGTGGATTTCAACACACGACAGACACTGGACTGCAACATTCGAGACATTTAAGGCAGCGGGTTGACTTAATGACTAGTTTTCCAGATCAAGGGTTATGGCGTGTGCAGATCCGCCATGGAACTGCCGTGGTCTGTGCTGATGCGAGCAAGGGGCTGTTTCTACTTTAACTGGCATGTGGGTTACTGGATTCTGCACACTCAGAAAGCTGGGGGACCCGGTTACCCCCGAATACTTATTTCTCTTCTGAATGCACGGCAGTCCGCGGCCCAAAGTGCTGTTGGGAGGACACGATTGGCAGCTGGCTTCGTTATCTTGTGAACGAAAGCGAGAACAAAATTTTACTTCGACCCCCATTTCCACACTTGCTAGTGCCAGTCGCTTCCACCAGAACTCTGGCGGAGGCCCAACCCACAGAGGACTAAGGCAATGGTGCCGACACGAAAGGGTTCTTCTAAATTACTTTTAAGAGCAATACTTTATAGACTGTCTTGTCACTGGGAAAGGCTGCAGAGGAAGCCCCGGCCCGGGGAGGGCACCCTTCCTCTCCCTGGCTCGGGGCGAGGGGTTCCACCTCTAGACAGGTTTCCCCAACCCCAGGCTGTGCTTCAAAAGAGAAGACCAAGAGGGGACTTGGGCCACGTCAGCGGGGTGGCTGGGGGAGGCCACGGGTTCTCGAGAGAGAACGGTCGGCTCATCACGGTCTCTGATGTCGACTGCAGTCGGAAACCAACACCACGCCCGTGTGGCACGCTGGCCCCTTTGTCTTTGTTCCCTTCTGAACTCCCATGGCCAGAGCCGGGCAAGGGGGACTCTTGGTGCAGTCCTGCGGTGGGGCGGGACACCTACGTTTCTGACCCTGTCCGAGTCTGCAGCTTAGCAGTGAGCAGATTCTGAGCATAGGCACAGTGGCAAAGAACAGTGTAACAGCCGCTGGTCAATTCCATTTGGTGGCAGCGCAATAGCAGCAAAGAAAATTCCCAAACAGCTCCGTGTGTATCCAGCTTTTGGAAAGGAAAACATTTTTAAAAAAATCAATAAACAGGTTGTTTGTTTTTTTTTTTTTTTTTTAAATATCCAAGGGTTTCAGAGTTTCTGGTAACTGCTCTACCCAGAACGACGACGACACAACAGAAAACACACAGGAGTACGGCAGTCGTGTGGGAGCAGGAGTGACGATGCCACTTTTCAAGGGGGGGGAGACTGGGACCTCAAGACAAATGTGTCCCCATCAGAAACAATAGCAATAACATAAAAGAAGCTGTCGTTCCCTAAAGGGCTGAGCCGCACAACTGCAGATACATTCCAAACTGGGTCAGTAACGAATGGAGGCACCGCCGTGGTCGCCGCGACTCCTGTCGGGAGCCCGGCCCTACAACATGCCACAGGGCGTCTGAGCGGTCACACCTGTTGGGAGACAGGCTTCTATGACTCACCTCCAGCCCTAGCCGCCCCGCCCCCCCAGGTTCTAGAAAATTGTTGTAGTTGTCTTCTTAGAGAATCTAAGACAATAAAAGACTAAAAGATGTCTGGAAATATGTTGTGTAGAAAAATTAACTCTCAGCTTAAAATAACATTCAAAAAGGCACTTCATCCTGTAGGAAAGAGATTCTGAGTTGGGTCAGCTGCTCCGAGCTGGCATAGAAAGGGACCGGTTGTCTGCTTGGAAGGGGGGATGGGCAGTTGAAAGGAAGTCCGATAGATATCAAGCTTTCTCTTTTTTTTTTTTTTTTCTCCATTTTTTTCTTTTTGGTATGTTTTAAGAAAAGCAAATACCGTAAAATGCATGTCCCTTTATGAAATCTGTTAAAAGAGTTCATCTTAAAATAGTGTTTCTGTTCTTAAAAAATAAAACAGGTAGGTATGGCCACTTTGACCTCGCGGCCTGGAGCACGGAGTGTCCTCGCTCCAGGCAGGTCCCCGAGGCCGAGGTCCCGGAGCGCATGGGCGGGGTGGGCGGAGGCCGGCGCTACCTGTCACAGAGTCTGTGCAGCATGCTGTACACGTCGTCTTCCCGGCTCAAGCCCTCGAAGAAGGGGATGAGGTCCAGCAGCTCTGTGTCCGTCATGTCATCGAACCAGGACTGCACGGGCACCTGGAAGACAGGGTGTGGAGGGGGCAGCTGAACCGTGCCCGGCACCGGGGGCAGCTCCTAGCCCGACTGGTGCCCGCACGTTTAGCATTTTCTTTGGTAAGGAGGACGGGTGTCTAAAAAGCATCATCGTCACCATCTTGTTTGTTCTCTCCCGTCCCAACTAAGGTGGATCCAGAGCTACCTGGTTCAGGAAGAAGGCAGAGTTCAGTGTGTTTGCTTTTTAAGTGAAGTGTAAATGTCAGTGTGTGTGCGTCTGCTTGTTTTGCTCTCCTGCCACAGAAAAGGTGGCCACGGCGCGGAGTGTATGAGAGCTGGCCTTGCCACCTGCCAGTTTCAAAAGCTCTTTCCACTGCGTCTAACAGCTCCTTACCCCTCAGAGCACTTGGAGCCACAGCTACCTGCCGGCCACTGACACCACGGAGCCCACAAACCGGGCACGGCGAGGCTTCCGATTGTGCCGCACAGCCAAAAGCAGAGACTTTCCTCCCATCCTTAGCAGCGATCGGTTAAAAGGAGAAGTATACAATTTCAGGACAGTCTGAGCTCTGGGCACAGACAGGATTTTCCCTTAGTTTTAGACGTGGGGGGTGGTGGTGGTAATGGGTAGCAGCCAGCCGTGCAAAACAAGAGATGTAAAAAGGAATTTGGGGAAAGCGAAGGAGTTCACAAAAGTAACATTTTGGGCCCTTTGAAGGACTGCTCAGAAACGAAACGATTCACTGTATAATTAAAAAATAGGGGTGCCTGGGTGGCTCAGTCGGATAAGCATCCAACTTGGTTTCAGCTCAGGTCATGATCTCACGGTTCGTGGGACTGAGCCCCACATTGGGCTCTGTGCTGAGAGCATGGAGCCTGCTTGGGATTCTCTTTCTTTCTCTTTATGCCCCTCCCCCACTTGTGTTTTTTCTCTCTCTCTCTCTCTCTCTCTCAAAATAAAAAAATATATATAAACAAGGTAAGGATTAACAAAAAAATGACTATTCCTAGGGGAAGGCAGACATGGACACAAGACTTCTCCAAATTTATCTCTGTTGGTAGCTCTGATGTTGGAATCATGGAAATGTGTTACATAATTGAAATAAAATTAAACCATTAAGAAAAGAAAGCAATAAAAAATGAACCCAAGGTGCATATAAACTTGGTGACATAACCACACTGAGAATTATTTCAAGTGATTTTAAAACGTAGTGTTCTGTCCGTACATTTCTCAAAGACACCCTAAGTGCATGCAATTGTCTTAGTAGTAGTAATAATATTCGTACTCTATTTGGAAACTATTAAACATATACTATAGAATAAGTCAAATATGTAATGAAGTGTTAATATATTTAGGAACCCAGAATTTCAGCACAAGAGAAGGAGATACAAATACAAAAATAAAACCAAAGAAATTAAATAAAAACTGTTATAACACTGAACTGGAAAAACAATATGAATTTATGATTTAATTTTAATTCTAAAAATATATATATGTTAGCTCTGTCTAGTATAAAAGGCCAGAAGCAAAGGACATCTCAGCAACAGTAAGAGTCCATCCAAACTGTGGTCTCTCAATACCATTCCCACTAATAGGAACAAGGCTCTATAGAAAAGTGGTTGATTCCAGGGGGAGGTAAGAAACGGACAAGACGAGCCTGGAATATCTTGTTGCACCAGAAGCAGGAAGCTTTCAAAGACTATCGTTATTTGAAGGGATGTCCGCTGTCCAAAGGTGAACGAACATTTGAGCACACAGAAGAATAATAAATGTATTAAGTTATAACAATGAAAAATGCTTGAGTTCATCATAATGCCCCCCTCCTCCAAAATTCACTGGCTACTTTTGGAAGCTGCTAGACCATCGACTCATTACTCTGAAGATTAAAGAATTAAAGAAAAAGAACCAAGACATTACCCTGACTTCCCGATTCAAACATTCAAACTGAATTTAGGGTAATCAAGTAGTCGACGAGGGCAAATTTGATTTAAACAAAAAAAGGGGGGGGGGAGTTCTGACCAACACACGTGGAAAGAATGACAGAATTTAGAAATCGCCATTTCGCAATTCTTAATGAAATAGTTGATGCAGGCAATGATCATCAACGACCGCTCAATTTCTAGGTCAAAGGTTGATGGGAAATTTAAAAACAGTAGGATCAGGCTAACAACACCTGACTCCAAAGATCAATTTGAAGTCTTTAAAAGTGGGACAGCCTGACATGATATGCCTCCTAATGTGATAGCCTACTAAGTACACAATACCACCTGTGATGTGTTCTTGAAAAACCAAAACTGAACCTGCACTGAATCAGGCAGTAGTGCTCTTAAGTACTTGTTCAAGGGAAACATGGGAAACCAGCACGAGGCTGCAACTGGACAAATCCAGAAGAGAGGACATTTCTGTAAGACAAATAACTAGACTTTCTTCAACCAGTAAACAGGACGGAAGAAAAAGGGAGAGGGGAGGGAGAATTGTTAAGATTATACGCATTACTAACCAAAGCAGTGCATGGACCTTGCTTGGTTCTGATTTAAACAGTCCAAATGCAGGACATTTCGAGACGATAAGGAAAATATGAACACAGTCTGGATATTAGAGAGTATTAAGAAACTGTTAGCTCTGTCAGATGGGATAATGGAATTGTGATTGTATTAAGAAGTAATCCTTATCTGTTAAGAGACACATGACAAAATGCATTACGATGAATTTGATTAACTCACTATAATGAATGCATGTAAATATAATAAATTTGGAACGTTTACTCAAATAATCATTACTCACTAACTGAATCTAGCTTGAACTCAGTTCTTTGCTATATGGGGAGCCACAGAGCTCTGGATTCAAGGAAAGGACGCTGGGGGGGGGGGGGTCTTTTATTTAGTGTGAGAAGCCCAGGCTCGGGAGGAAGCCTGCTCTCCGGGAAAGGCTGCCTGAGCTGAGGGCCAGTGTGGTGGTCCTGCTGATGGCTGGCAGTCACCAGCGGGGTTGGCTGACCTCCCTTTCCCTGGAAACGTAGGACGGGAGGTGGGTGAGCATGTCTCTCTTGCTTGGACAGTCATGCTGCACCCAGTGGGGACTGTCACACTCCGGGGAGTTTTAGGTAGGAGATGTCCCCACTGTATACTTTTCAGACATCATTGTGAGGTGGGAAAGCTTGGCAGGCTTGTCTGAAGGCCTTTATCGAGGTGTTTCATTCATTCTTGTTTAAGAACGTCTTCTGCTGAAGAGGTAGCCAGGCCTTTTGAGTCTACGGGAGCCATGAGCCAGCTCCAGGAGGTTCGCGACGGAACCCTTCTCAGGAACAACACTAACAACGCTAAGATGCAGCCCCACTGAGCACTCACCCATCACAGGCACTGTTCCAAGTGCTTTCCACGCTCTGTCACACTCCATCCTCCAACCTTCCTATGGGTCAGCGCCCCCAGAATTCCCATTTGGTGGACGAGGCAACTAAGGCTCAGTGAGGTGAACGAACTGGGTCAGTGTCACGCAACTGCTAAGTGGCAGAGCTGGGGTTTCACCAAGGCCAGGCCAAGAGAGCTGGTGCAGATGCTTGAGAGCACGAAGGCGAAGCTGGATGGGCCCCCCCCCCTCCCCCGCCCAGCCCCGTGCTCTCCCCCGGGGCTACTTACTGCGTTCTCAGGATGGAAGATGTAGGAGGCCGGAGAATTGTCCACGATGATCACTTTGCTCAGCTCCCGGCCCAGGCGACTCAGGTCTTTCACGTAGTTGCCACGATGGAAGACGCACGATTCTCTGAAGAGCCGGGCCCGGAACACGCCCCAGCGGTCCAGCAGGTCGGCCACGGGGTCTGCGTACTGGAAAGCAGGAGTCGTGGTGAAGGCCGGGCGCCTGGAAGAGCCCAGAGACCTGCCCTACTACAGCAAGATCCACATTACTTTTCCAGACAGGGGTTCACATAATTGGACATGTTTTAGGATCCTGCTTGCTTTCCTCTCCATGTGTGTAAGACAGCCTGGCTGCTGCAACTTCTCTCACTTCTCATATCCAGTCCGTCAGAAGTTCTTGGCGGTTCCGCCACCAAGAGTATCTTGAATCCACCTGCATCTGTAATATACCGCCCGGCTCCCGGTGTGTGTAACCTCTGCCTGGGCCAGCTGCGTGAGCCTCTCAAAGGGCCTGCCCGCTCCCCCTTGCGTCTCCTTTGCAGCCCACGCAGCTGCTCCTCTCACGCCCCATCACCCCTGCTTACGACACCCCGCCGCGGACCCACCGGCCCTGGAGTAAGGCCCGCACTCCTCGGGGCCCGCCCTGTCCCGCACGGCCACGGCTACGTGATGTGTGCCCCTGCTCAGCTCCAGCTCGTCACCCGAGCCGCACTGGCCTTGAACGTGGTCAGAACCCCTGCACCAGTGCTCCCTCCGCACGCAACATTCCCTCCTCAGGTCTCTGCACAAACTTCTCCTTCTGTCCCTTCGCCTTTCGGGTCTTGGCTTTCCTTACCACCCACGTAGAGCCACCTATACCTCCCTTTCTGGCTACCGGGGTCTCACAGTGGCTTCCTTCACAGAGCTCACCACCCCCGGGGATTACCGGATTTTCTCTTCTCTGGCCAGAGCGCAGGCCTTGTCTGGCGTGTTCACCAGGATGTCCCGGGCACCTTGCACCATGCCCACCTCATGGTGGGGGCTCTAAACACTAGTTTTGTCACCGAACGAATGAGTAGACTCTGCATTTGGCTTGTGTGGCATGAGGGCGCACTGCCTCCTACGCGTGCTCTCTGAGGAGCTGGGCCAGACCAGCACCAGCACAGGGACGGTGCCCAGACACCCACTTCTGTTTACTTGAAGCCCGGGAGGTTTTTTTCAACTTTGTTTTGCTTTTTCAGTGAGAGAGAGAGAGAGAGAGAGAGAGAGAGAGAGAGAGAGAGACGGAGAAGGGGAAAGAGAGAATCCCAAGCAGGCTCTATGCTCAGTATAGAGCCTGATGCGGGGCTCAGTTCCACCATCCCGGGATCACGGCCTGAGCCGAAAGCAAGAGTCAGAAACTCAACTGACTGAGTCACCCAGGTGCCCCGCAGAGCCCACGAGTTTTATGGGAGGGAGTGTGGGGCTCACCGTATTTGGCCTTCTCTCGTGGCCTGGGGGATTTTCCCAAAGCAAGCTGACCCGGATAAGGAAATAAAGAGGTCATCCCTGAGGGAAAATCTTCATAAATGAAGATGTCGAAAAGACGGGGTTCCCATTGAGTGGCTGGGGCTGGAAGTGAAAGAGAGTGACAGCACAAAGACCCGCAACTCTGCCAGGGAGGCAGGAAGTACCCGGAATGCACGGCAGCCCCCGGGGTGCAGAGAAATGCCAGCACGCTGCAGGATGTGGGGCCACGGGCCTACGGGCAGCAGCTCTAACTCTGTGGCAATGTCCTCCTTTCCCTAGACGCATCCCGAGGGGGCAGAGTCCAGGAGCAGGCCGTTTCCTGCTGACCAGGCAGGCACTGCAGTTTTCCGCTGGAAAGGGCAGTACCCACCGGTACTAGGAGGCTGACTCTAGGTGGAAATAGTGATTAGTTTACGCATAATTGTGAACACTGGCGGTGGCATACATCCTTCAAGAGAACGTCTGAGTCTGGGGGCTCCGGGCCTTAGAGGCAGATGTGGAGAATGTAAGCTTCATGAGGGCAGGGGCTTTGTCTCCTTTGTTCTCTGCCGTATCCCCAGTGCCTAGTACAGAGTCTGACACACGGGAGGTTCTAAGCAAGTATCTGTTGGGTGAACGAATCAAAAAGGAAACTTAGATGAGGAAACAGACATAGAAGGGCTCTGACATCAGCTCAGGGCTCCTGTGGGTTTCTGGGCTGTGGGCCAGGAGGTCCATGGCACCAGTGGTGCTGGCTGGGAGCTGAGCCCAGAGCCAAGAACCGGGGAGCGCCCACCTGTCTGCAGAGCTTGTGCATCAGGGAGGAAAGGGCCGGAAGGCTGCACTTGGGAGCCGACTCAGCTGAGCCAGGCTGGAGTAGCAGTGAGGGAAGGGCTGGAGAGACAGGTGGAGGCGCAGGTGGGAGACGTCCAGGAAGAGACTGAACAAGGATGTTTAAGCGCTGGCGACTACTGCCGAGAAAGAGTGTTTCAATTTTGCCAGCTTCCCCGCCAAACGCCCTCCTAACCCCCACCCCCCAATTCTTAATCTACCACACCGGTGTCATCTTCCTGTCTGTTACTTCTGCAGTTGTCACTTCAGGCTCCTCGGTGCCCCAGAGCCCCGCCAGGAGACCCATCCACGCTACGGTTCGTCTTGGTGCCATTCATGCGAAAGAGCGCCCACCGGGGAAGATTAGGTCTTCCCCGAGGCCATGCTCTTTTTAGTATGCCAAAGTGAGGCCTAGGTTTTGGATTCCCTTTCTACCGAGCTCATGCCCTAAGGCCTGCCAATGAGTCTGGCAGAACGTTGTGCAGGTGGGGCTCCCTCTCATCTCAGCCGTGACTGAGACATGATTCAGACCAGGAATGCCCCGTCTGGCAAAGCGGTATGTCTGGGCACCTGGGGTCAGAGTCCCCAGCACGCAGAGGAGAAGGGAGCCACCCCGAGCCAGGACATTGTAGGGGGTGGGGAAGGGGAGAGTCCTTGCAGCAGGTCTGGAGATGAGCAGATTGCTAACCTGCGCCCCACAAAGCTCATCTCTGGGGCCACTTCAGAGTCCCCAAGGTGCCCACGGGGACGCTGGTGGCGCCACCAACAAATGATGGCGCTGGCCCCATCAGAGTCAGGATTTGAGGGGTGGTCATGGCAAGGATCTCCTCCGAGGACTGGGGCCCGCCCTCTCCACCTGAGGCACAGCACCTCAGCACACCTGTGAAAGGGCAGACATAACCATACGGGGGGGGGGGGGGCCGTCCTATGCACCTGCTACTTCCTTTAAACAGTGGGGAAGGGCAAAGAAACCACTCTCTTTGGTTAGAGCCAGTGTAGACGCTGGGTCAAAGATTCATACCAAGCTATAAGGCCAAAACATGTGAATTATTTTGTCACCATTAATAATTATGATAATTAAACCCTGAGCACCAGGAGACTTACTTACCGCGTGACAGTGCCCGCAGGGCATATGGAGCACAACAGGTGCTCCAGGAACGTTTGCTGAATGAGTCAAGCACGACGCTCTGCCCTTTACAAGTATTATTTCATTTGATCCACCCCAGGTGGTAGAGGAAATCATCCCCAATTTCTAGAAGAAATGGAGTCAAGACAAGTGAAGTCACTTGTCCGAGATCACATGGCTCACTAGGGCTGTCAGAACCCTCCTCTGGCCCGTGCATGTGGCTAAGTCTTGGACACTTATCCTTCCCCAAACCTGTGTAAGCCAATGGAGGACGCAAAGGCTTGAGCCCCTAGCAGGGGTCTGCCAGTCAACAGCCGAGGGGCAGATGCCCTTTCCCAGTTACGCGGGACACACTGATTTCCTGGTCTGTGGACATCCAGCTTGAGGCGGCTGCAGGCAGCAACTTCACGGAGCATTTGTTCCAAAGGCTCCCTGTCACCATGGTAATAACCCAGAAGCCTTTCAGGCTGGCGCTGTGCACGTGGCCTGCATCCATCCCATCCGGGGTGGGAAACTGTCACCATGGAAACAGCTTCCCACACCTTAACAGAGGGCTGCCTGGCAGACAGGGGGTCAGGGTGGAGGGGCTGGGGGAGCCCAGCTGGGAGCAGGACGTACCTTGGCCAAGCTGGCAGTAAAGAGCACACACTCAAAGAGCTGGCCCATCCTCTGGAGGAACTCATCCACGTGGGGCCGCTTCAGCACATACACCTGCAACAGCAGCAGACAGCAGGCTGGTCAGTCATGGCAGCTGCTGGGGTGGCCTGGGCCCAACACCCACGTAGGAAGAATTCCTTAAAAGGGAACTGCTTGCTGTCCCCAGCTCTATGGGTGGGGGGGACACCCCAACTGTACGAGGGCTACACAGTCAGATGTGGCACGTTAGGCCACACACACACTCCTCAGACCGGGCTCCCGGTCTGAGTCTGGTGCACCCTCCTCTGAAGAGGGAAAGGGAAGCTGACCGCGGTACTGGGGGTCTTAGGGATTTTCAGAACAAGTAGAAGGGTTGTGCCGTGTTTGTGCGAAACGGCTCCTTCCCTCACCCGTGTTTCTCAGTACGTGTTGTGGGTCAGGCCCTATGTGGACACAGGCTACAGCCCAGGGGCCGTCCATTCAGACGTCCAGGCCCGACCCAATGTCTGGCAGCTCCGGGACAAGCGGCCACCTCGTACCCTCGACTGGAACACCTCTCTCGCCAGAAAGCCTGGGGTGGGAGCGCAGGCCCAGCAAAGAGGCGAGAGGTGCCTTCCCTGTCAGTGTGGGAAGCCATCCACTTGACGCCACAAAGGTGACTCTACTTGAGCTCGGTACAGAAATAGACTTTGGGGGACGTGACGCCAGCCTACTCCCAGGGCCCCATCAGGAGGGGCCTCCAGGCAGAGGGGGGCAAAGAAGAGGCTTTCCTGGAGTGGCTGGGTGGCTCCGTGCTCCTGACTGGGGAACCTGAACAAATCTGAGGAGACCAGGGAAATGGGAGACAAGGCAAAGCTGGTGAGAGAAGATAGGGAAGGTGGGAGGAGGGAAGAACTAATTAAAACGTGAATAAATTCCATGTGAAATTAGCCACTTCCCTAAAATAAATCAGACTTATTAAAATTCAATTCAGCTCATATTCACGGAGCCCCAGCTCTGTACTCAGCCTGAAGAAGTTACAAACATGAACAAAACACAGGCCTTGCCCTTGAAGAGCTCACAGTCTAGAGCAGATACAAATAAGAACAAATCAAAATGAGCATGCATATCCAAGTTGTAGTAGAGAGATAAATTAAGGACAATGAACTCCCCTCTCAAGGGGAAGGAATCACAGAAGGTAACATCTGGCCTGGGCCTTGCAGGATGAACAAGAGTTCACCAGGCGGGTAAGGATGAGAAGCAAGCTTCCAGGCAGAGGAAGCGGTAGGAGCATGAGACCTGGCCTGAAAGTACCTGGGTGTGAGAGCAAGGCCAGAGCCCTTCGTGACCAGCCCTTTAGAGACGGCGGATAGACGAAGGGGCTAAAGAGAAAGTGTGAAAGGCAGGTCAGGGGGAGCACATGTGAGGCCGTGAATGGCAGATGTTGCCAGCCGTCTATCCTACGGAGTCACAGAGGGCGGACGGGGCTCTGTACCACACAGGGGATGCGTGCATGGCAGAAGAATTCTGCACAGAGCCAGGACTCGGTGGGAAACTTGTGGCCCACTGAAAGACTGGGGTAAGCACGGTCTGTGGCCGTGGGTGGAGTGAAGGGCCAGAGGCCTGGCGGGGGTGCCAGCAGGGCTGTGAGGAGCTGGGAGGCTGGGGGTGGGGCTGGGGCAGGGCTTGTGGCTGCAGTAGCTCCAGGCCCCTGCTTTGTCCATGAGGCTCCTCGGTGCCAGGGAATGGGTGTGGCCTGTGGTCCTCAGTCCCCTTGGGAATGCTGCTTGGAAAGCAAGCTTTGCTACATGCAGAGGGCAGGAGACTGATTTGGGAACTCTGGTGTTGGTGCCTCTGGCAGAGAGGAAGGTCCTGGGCCCGGATGCCGGCGTCCAGGCCCGCGTCCGCGTGCAAGTAACCAAGAATAGGCCCATCGGGACCTGCACAGCCTATCCTGGATTACTTGAACGAGGCCACGGCCTTCGCCAGGGCCTTGGTCCTCCTCTTGGCGCCTGTGGCTTCATTCCCTCAGGAGAGAGGGTTTCTGATCCCACCCCTGGGACCCTGGAGTATCTATCGCCATATGAATCACAGTACAGTCTGGAGGGAGGCTGGGGGAGCCGGGGTGGCTCCTTTGAGAGTGGGCTGGCTGTCGCAGGTCAGGCCCTGAGGGTCATGCTCACAGTTGCAAGGTAAGAAGGAAGGATTAATTTCTCTCCTAATTCTTGCCATGCCAGTGGGCAGCCTCTCCTTTGTCTCCTTATTTTGTAGCAGAAGCCAAGGTAATAAATGAAGCCTTAACTGCTTCTCAGATGCTGAGTTAATTCAGTTGGTGCTTTTGCAAATGTTAAATGCCCAAGTGCCTGTCTTTTGGCTCCCTGCTGGCTTTTAAAAGCATGACATGTGGAGACACTGGAAATAAAGCTGCCTTTCCAAGGGCCAGCTTCCTGGCAAGACCTCCTGCCTGGGAAGGGAAGGGACCAGGGTATCAGGAAAAGAGCCATGGGCCAGGAGGCAAAAGACTGGAAGTCTCATTTTAATTCTTTCCATGGATGTGACCTTGAACCAACCCTTTCTCTGGCCGAGCCTCAGTTACCCCATCTGGACAACGACACGGTCGGACCAGCTGATTTCCAAGACATCAACTCTGACACCCTGTCCTCAAGGGCCAAGGAAACTACTGGTGTTGTTAAGGAAAGACATCCTGTTATGGCTCAAGCACCAAGAGAGATTTTCCTTCCTGGGATATAAACACAATCAGGCCAGAGACTCTCCCTTTAAGACCCTGGGTCGACAAGAGGAGGGTCACACCATCCCCGTGGAAAACCTTACAAATCGCCCCTACTCCTCAACTTCCAAGGCTAGGAGTTTTCCCACAGTGTTCCAGTATGTTCATAAATGAAGCTATTCCTGGAGAAGCTTCATGCAGATAAGGGGAAAAAAAAAACCATCAGAACAAAGATGCGTGCCAATTAACTAGGGCATCTTTATTCAAAGTTGTCTCCTGATCCAAAAACACACATCCTTTTGGTTGGGATTTTGCTAAAGATCCACTGGAGAACATGATGTAGGAGTAACAAGATCAGTCTAGAGTGGCAGGTATTGGAAACTGACATCTCTTCCCAACATCCCACCATAAGTGGGTACTTGTGGCATTTTCCTTTTGCCTGCTAGGAGAGTAGCCGAAAGCCATTACATGAGGAAGTTAATTAGACCATCAAGCTAGGCCAGTGGGGGATATGGAAACTTCTAAAAGTCTGAATCAAATCAAAGAACTATTCCAACTTGCAGCCACATCTACTATCTACAAATGGATTATAGTTTCCCTTATACACTCACTATAAAGTAAATGCATCAGTGAAAAAAAGAAAGCAGGAAATCACTGTATTTATTTTACAAAGCTTGCTCCCTTTTGATTCAGTAATAAAAGTGTTGATGAAATGGGAATTTAGAATTAAGTTCATAGGAAACGTAATTACCAAAAAATGCTAATTGCAGCTCAGATTTAGCTTTGATTTCTTACCTGATGTATAGTTCCATCGATTTCAACCGGAACAATAAAATCAGCATTACTAATGGGCTAGAGAGAAAAGAAATTATAATTAATATATCCGAAAGAACAAAATAAAATTGGAAACTTTAGAAAGAATAAGGTTTGCCTGGACCAATGTTTTTATTATTGGAAAAAACAGCTAAACATATTTTTTTTTTAATGTTTATTTATTTTTGAGAGAGGCAGAGAGAGAGAGAGAGAGCGAGCAAGCAGGCATGAGCGGGAGAGGAGCAGAGAGAGGGAGACACAGAATTTGAAGCAGGCTTCAGGCTCTGAGCTGTCAGCACAGAGCCCAACGTGGGGCTTGAACCCATGACCCGTGAGATCATGACCTGAACCGAAGTTGGACACTTAACCGACAGCCACCCAGCTGTCACTGGAAAAAAGTTTTAGGTGAAGGATGTTGAAGTATGCTTTGATTCCTTAAAATAAGCACAAGCAGGAAAGCACATTTTTTTCTGTTCTGAATATCGTTAAACTTTCAGCATCTCGGTCCAACCTCTCTATCATCTCCCTGGCCTAAACAACAAAGGTAGGGCAGCCTGGCCAGAGAATGGGGCTCCTCAGAAACTCCAGTTCTCGCCTAGAGCCCTGCCACATGGTGTGGAACCAGGACTGGCCACCAGGGGGAGGAGGTGAGAGCCCAGTGGTCCCAGAGGACTTGCGACTTGGGGGGAAACTGATTTGCATTGGACCCGCGGATGTAAGCTGCCCTGTGATGGGCTGCTGGGCAGGAGATGCTGAGCACAGGACACAAAGCAGGGCCACAGACGTGAGGTGAAATCAGAGGCCACAGGCCACGGCCTCGGCTCCTTTCCCTCTGGACCTTCGTTTCTCCTCTCTTCCACAGCTGCGGTAATGGGTCTGATGTGTGCCCATGGCTCCATCTGGTCCTGAGCAGCAGTGATTTCCGCCTTGCCTGGCACCGTCTCCTGCCCTGGGCAGTGGGGAGAGCCGGCCCACCCTGGATTGCTCTGTTCTAAGTAACACAATACCCAGCACAGCCACAGACTCAAGCCTATTTAAAATAAGTCTTTGACAATACTAATGATACTTAAAATGCAAACATGATTATTTCGGCAGTCCTCGTGTGAATCAATACCAGGTTTAACATGAAGTTCTAAATTGAAGTCCGCAAATGAGGTAGCAACTACTCCAATGAACAGGCCCAAGAGACTCAGAACACAAACCCCTGGGACAAACAGGAGAGAGACAGAGGGAAGACAGCACGTGTGCGGTGGCTATTGGGCAGGGGTGCGGACAGGGGTGTGCAGGGCAGAGTCTCTGGTCAGAATGTGAACTGGGGTCTGCTTTTATTAAGCCCATCATCGTACACACATGCATTGTTCTTTGCTAAGTAAACAGAAAATACTAGATCACAGAACCATTGCTAAGCACTCAATAGAGTACCTGAAGCTTAAGATTACAGTTTAGTCACTCTTGTGGTTGGAAGGCCAAGGAGGAGTTCAGTATCTTATAATTCCACAACCAAAATACAAAATCATGAAGGAAGAAACTCTAACAAGGCATTATTAGATTGCAAAATCATATTCCATAGAGTATATTAAAAGAGAACAACCATTCCCCAGCTCAAATCAAGCCTCAGCCTCGGTTTCTTCTTACGTGCTATGTAAAGGAGGCCATGCCAAGCCACGGTTCTTAACCTGGGTCTAAGAGCCTCTGTGTGAAACAGTTGTATGTTTACAGTTGTATGATCTCAAGAGAGGTCACAGCTTTCAGATTCTCCAAGGCCTCTGAAATGCCCCAGAACATTAAAAACTGAACAATAAAGGCAGTTGCCAGAGGGAAGGTGGGTGGAAGGGTGGGTGAAATAGATAAAGGAGATTCAGAGCACACATACCTGGCCTTTGGCTCCCTGAGCAGCGCCATGGCAGTGGGCAAGAATAAGCACCTTGTGAAAGGTGGCAAAAAGGCAGCCACGAAGAAAGTGGTCGAGCCATTTCCTAAGAAAGACTGGTAGGATGTGAAAGCACCAGCTACATTTAATATAAGAAATCCTGGAAAAACAGTAGTCACGAGGACTCAAGGGACTGAAATTGCATCTGATGGCCTCCAGGGTCGTGTTTTTGAAGTGAGCCCTGCTCATCTGCGGAACGATGAAGTTGCATTTAGAAAATTCAACCTAATTACTGAGGACGTACAGGGCAAAAACTGCCTAACATCCATGGCATGGATCTTTCCTGTGACAAAGTGTGCTCCATGGTCAAAAAATGGCAGACTATGATTGAAACTCATATTGATGTCAAGACTACTGATGGTTACTTGCTTTGTCTGTTTTGTGTTGGTTTTGCTATTAAAAAAAAAAAAAAAGCAACAATCAGATTCAGAAGATCTCTTACACTCAGCACCAACAGGTCAGCCGAGTTCAGAAAAAGATGGTGGAAATCATGACCCGAGAGGTGCAAATGACTTGAAAGAACTGGTCAATAAATTGATTCCGGACAGCATCGGAAAAGACACAGAAAAGGCTTGTCAGTCTATTTATCCACCCCATGATGTCTTCATTAGAAAACTAAAAATGCTGGGGCACCTGGGTGGCTCAGTCGGTTAAGTGTCTGACTTCAGCTCGGGTCAGGATCTCAGGTTTGTGAGTTCGGGCCCCGAGTCGGGCTCCGCGCTGACAGCTCGGAGCCCGGAGACTGCTTCCGATTCTGTGTCTCCCTCTCTCTGCAACCCCTCCCTTGTTCGCACTCTCTCTCTCTCAAAACTAAATATTAAAAAAATTAAAAAAAAAAAAAAAAGAAAAGAAAAGTAAAAATGCTGAAGAAGCCCAGGTTTGAATTGGAAAAGCTCATGAAGCTTCATGGTTGGAAGGTGGTAGTTCTGGAGAAGTTACTGGGGATGAGACCGGTGCTAACGTTGAATGAGCTGGTGGGTAAGAGCCTGTAAGAATCTGTTTAAAATTCAGACATTTAGGGGCGCCTGGGTGGCGCAGTCGGTTAGGCGTCCGACTTCAGCCAGGTCACGATCTCGCGGTCCGTGAGTTCGAGCCCCGCGTCGGGCTCTGGGCTGATGGCTCGGAGCCTGGAGCCTGTTTCCGATTCTGTGTCTCCCTCTCTCTCTGCCCCTCCCCCGTTCATGCTCTGTCTCTCTCTGTCCCAAAAATAAATAAACGTTGGAAAAAAAAAATTAAAAAATAAAATAAAATAAAATAAAATTCAGACATTTAATGGTGACAAATAAAAAATCTCCTTTGTGATGAAAAAGAAAGAGTACATGTGTCTTGATGAGCACTGAGAAACGTATAGAATTGTTGAATCACTGTGTCGTGTACCTGAAACGAATATAACCCTGTATGTTAAGTATATTTGAATAGCGCCCCCCCCCCCCGCCCCTACAATAAAGGATATTCTGCTTGCAAATATAGGCAAGCCAGGGAGGGAAGAAATGAAGAGACGCTGTTCACATCAGCTTCTGTATAATGCTCTTTGAGCAGGCCTTGGAGACATCAGGGGCTGTTAAGGTCCTGCCTTTGGAGTCAGGAAGCCTCCATAGCCTCGGGCAGTCTGGTCAGCATTGCCCACACTCCCAGAGCCTGGGAGGAAGCTGTCCAGGCCGAAATGGCAAATAACCCCTGCTCCAAAGGGCTTTCCTCCAGAGGCCTTTGAAAAGTCCTGAGCAACTTGCCCACAGGGGAGAAAAGGCTTCCAATGCTATTCAGAGCTGAGCTGGGACATAAGGTCATGGCAACCAGGGGACCAATCCTGGAAGGGCCCTCAGGGTGCTGGGGAATGAGGTGGTACCTCCAGGCCCCAGTGGCCTGTCTCACTGCTAGAGTATGTGTGTTACCTCCTCTATTCTCCCAAAGGACTCACAGACAACCGCCTGGCCTTGTCCTATCAAGGAAGGCTTCTGTTTAGTGAGAAGCAGGCATAAGGAAGGATGTTCCTGACAGAAAGTTCTTCAGGTAAATTTGATGGCTTTTCCAACGTCCCCTGCAATGGTCAAGGAATGACTGGTTCATGTGAGACACCCCCCACGCCCCCCAACCATGGAGGGTGCCTTCATATCTCTCCGCAAAGTAAGGGGTGTCACGGGTTGGGGTACAAGGAGGAATGGGATCAAACTGGCCAGTGATAGTGGAGCAGCTCATCTCCAGAAGCACCCCAAGAAAAATAGGACCAGGACCCTACTTCTTCCTTCCAACACACAGATACCCT